AGAGAACCAGACACCATCTGGACTTTCACGTGACAACCCAAACAGTACAGCTCAATCCCGCCTAACAGGAGAACGAGACACTATATGGGTTTCAACTCTACAATCTGAACAGTACAGCTCAATCCTGTGGCACAACCACACAGGTACCGAGCCCTGGTGGATCGACAATAAACCCGGTACAACTTCATAACTCTTATGGGTTCTACAAACAGTAGAAATATAGAACTTCATAGATAGGATGATAGATTTATAAGATCAATTAAGTTGTATTTTCTGAATATGTGTCTCATTCTACTTCTTCGATGCTAATATTTATAATGTAATGTACTCGTAAGATGGTGATTGGCGGTAGTCAACAGGATAGCATTCGATCTGCATTAAGAAGGACTTGACACACATAACATTGATCACCACCCAGTGATCAATCAATTGTGAGTAATGTATTCATATTGAATGAAATATGGACTATCTTGTAAGTTTTTCTCTAAAAAAAAACGGTTCAGCATGCTTAGTTGAGGTTGTAACTGACCTAATGAAATTACTTTCTCAAAAATAGGACGAGACTGTTATTCAGTTTTAACCAATAATTTGTAGTATTCTAGTGAACAAGAACACAAGTGGGGACAGTCGAATGTATTTGAATACAAAAATAAAAGAACATCTTATTGAAATCTCAGAACCATACAGTGAATACTTCATTTGCGAAATGTTAATCAATCGTCCCAGACTCCGTTGTTCCTTTGTTTCCATATCAATCATTCTTTGTTCTTGTTCTCATTTCTTCGATCTTCTTAACCTTTTGCCTCCAGGCATTTCACTTTCGATTGATGATACATGCTACTTATATCTGTTGACATCGGTAGCACACACCAAAGTATGTTGTAAAGCGTGTCAATGCCTTATAATGACAGGCTCCGTATGATACATAATGCTTGTAGACCCTGTAGTCAATAAAACTCACCTACTAATTGTAATTCAATATAATTTACTGTTCTGATATTGAAGTAGTTTTAGTTGGATCCAAGGGATTTTGTGAATAAGACAATAAGATTAGCAAATCATTTTATAGTTCAAAGCATGAGTCAATTGAAGCTAGACAACCAAGGGAAACCTGAAAGCACTGAACGACCGTTTCGTCCTATTATAAGACTCCTCATCAGTGCACATTCACGATCTCGCCTCACGAGATCAAAACTCAGAACCTAGCAGTCTCGCACCAGAACACTTAACCGTTAGACCACTGAGCCGGCATCCGATGGTTTCCAGGTTTTCCTTGGTGGTTCTTTCAACTATGAAAAATACTGAAATCTCCACAAAACTCCTTCTGATTAAGATCATTTTATATTTTAGTCATTTCCAGTCAATATTGCTTTTTCTAATTGAAATAGACAAAAGCTATTTCTATTCATTCCAGTTCTACTTTATTCATTTATTATTCAAGTATCTGAGTACTATGAGTTCCAATATGTTTACGTCCCTTTACACATACACAGACACAAACAAACAAAAGCTTTTTCCGGTTATCATATGAGTAACTTAGTCAAATGTTTGGCCCATAGAGCCAAGATGGTTTCAAAGAGGAACTAAAACTTTATTTATGTAGGCATAGATACCCATCGAAGTTCCCAATGAAACGTATGTCTGCACCTAAACCTAAACTAAAATCATCAAAGGTACCAAAAAGTGTGTTTTCTTAAAATTGCAGTTCAAAGGTGATATAATCAGAGAAATAGTAACTTGACTTATACAAAACGCCTTAAAACGTACATTTAATATGGCAAGATTATATCCTACTTTCTTCAACTAGCCAATAGGGAGTTCATGTAATATGGATAAATTGCCTAGTTCCTCTACAAAATTCAACTGCTCTTGAGTATCTAGTTATATGAGGTGTACAACTTGACAAATACATTATAGTATTTTTGAATATCAGCCCCGATGATTAACTAATGGACAAAAGAAAGTAATAAGAAGCTCCATCTTGGAATGTCTAGTCGATACTGATCACCACGTAGCCAAACTTCAACGTTTAAAGTTATTTGTAAAAGCCTGTATGGACCTAGAATCCGACTTTTACATATAACAGAAATCATAGGAATACACATGGAACACCCTAACCTTCTTATATATGGAAAGTATATACAGTTTTTGAATCTACTCTAGTCTTCTACTTAGATACTATTACATGTTTCATAATCTATCTTTATCTTCCCTTAATCTTATTATCTAATTTTCATTGCACCCCTCCTACTAATTACTCATAATTAATTTCAATGATGGTCTAACTTTAATCGACTAATAAAATGAACTATTAAATTACTACAATCTGAGCAAAACCCCCTTTTTTATAATAGTCACCATGTGCTTACTAGTGACTGACTTCAACAGGTATTTTCTGGTCTTCTAGTGAGAAGCTGTGAATAATGGAGTTCAACTGGGTCTGTTGTGAGGCAATAACTCACTATAGACAATAGTGGATGGTGGCTCAATCTCGTGAATTGGTTAAAGTTCGACATAAACAGCGTTGAACATCGGCCATTTCAGCGGTCTAGAGATTAGACATTCGTCCATGAGACTTTCAGCCTTAACTTTTATTCTCCAAACGTGTAACTAACTGTTTATTATTTTGTTAAATGGACTCATTACCATCTAGGTTGTATCGACTTTCTATTGTAATAATTTAATGGTTGAATTCATGAGTCCATTCAAGCTAGACCACCCTGAAAAACCTAAAAGCATTAGATAGTCACTTCGTCCTCGTATAGGGCTCTTCAGCAGTACACTCAACTTATTTTTTCTTTATTATACACAATCATGTTTCCTAATAAATAGTAATAGAGATGATACAAATAGGTGAAAAAAAATAAAAAATAAAATAAAATAAAAAATGAAACACTTAGTTTTATGTATCTTTCTTTCTTTCTCTCTCTCTCTCTGAGTGTGTGTGTGTGTGTGTGAAATACAGTAATGTTCTATTATTATCGATTAAGTACCTTTGTCTCCATTATTCTAACCAATATAATCACTAAGCACAATCAAGTGTGCACATGAATACATATATATGTGTGTATGAATAGCTTATCAAGCTATTAGGTGTAAATAGAGATAAGCAGAGCTAAAGTGATCAATATCTATTTACTGTTTCATATACGTGTATATATGACTGTTTATTAAGCAAGTTACCAAGTGAAGGATAGAAGGTATTGGTTAGTTATTGATAATAACATTCATCAGTGAAATTCCTGTTTAACTGATTGATCATTTTTGTAGTTGAGTAACGAATTAAAAACATCTTTAATGTTAATATTGGACAATTTTCATGCAATACAATACCGTAAGTAGAAGGGGGGGTTTTGTGAAGATTTCAGTATTTTCATAGTTGAAATCATGAGTCAATGTAAGCTAGACTATCATTGAAAACCCGAAAACACTGAACGGCTGTTTCGTTCTAGTGTAGGACTCCTCAACAGTGCGAAACCACGATCCCGCCTCGTGGGATTTTAACCCAGAACCTATCAGTCTCGTGTGCGAGCGCTTAACCACTAGACCACTGAGCTGGCCGACATCCAACGGTGTTATCACGAAGTCACCTTAGCATGTAAGTCACTAAAATTACATGAGTGTATGTGGGGGGGAATGAATAAGAGTTTCAGCATTAGCTGAAATAGATACATAATTTGAACTCTCTCAAAATAAAACTGAACAACCGATTGAACAAAATAGTTTTAAAGTATTTAGTTACATATGAATGTTTATAGATATGTAGTTCATCAACCTTAATGATCTCTGTTGAATGATTCGGAACCTATTCGAGTTAGACAGAAATGGTGTGACGAACCCGTTAACGTCGAAGTCACACCTTGCAGTTAGCACCTAATGTGGATTATCCCTTCGTCGTATCAGCGTACTACGAATATTTTGAAGACAGTGTAACACAAAGGACATTATTATAGAAATATATTAGTTGAAGTAGGTACAAGCGTCGGCCAGTCCATGGTGTACGATCAACTGATGCGAGTTCATTGTCCTTGACCTTGGCAGGGATAAATGATCTGTTCGATATTCATCGACCGACCTGCCAGATGATTTGGCTAGGGCTCAGTAACATTTCAGTGGCCCTGCAGATATTTTATACTGAAAAATCTATAGATGTGTTGAAATTTACCATTCTCAGTATTTTTGGATCGTAGTGCCAGAATGTATAATTGATGAAGGGGTTGGGGGAATAGTGTATTAACAAAAAAATTTTCATATCATATCATTTGGTTTAGGTTTATAAGAATGTTGTAATGCTAGTTAACCATTAAAAAAAGTACTATAAGCAAAGATGGATAGTTGCTAGCTGTGGAATTCAGGACGCATGTTTCGTCCCATTTGAGACTCGTCAGGTACATCCAGCTGACGAGTCGCAAATCACTATTCATCTTTATTTATAATGTTTTCCAAGTTATTTTCTTTATTATCTCTCGTCTCCTCTTATCCCCACCCTATTTCTAGCCTAATTGACCTTTCATTTTTATATGTAAACGTTTTAATAACAAGTATATTATGTGTGATCAGATTGCTCGAAATGTATTACACTAATATATGTAACATAGTTTTGATAGTTTTCGTCTTCTTACTACACCATCCTGGGTTCGAATCTCGTGAGGCGGGATTGTGGATGAACACTACTGAGGAGTCTCATAATAGAATGAAATGGCCGTCCAGTGCTTCCAGGTTTTAGATGGTGGTCTAGCTTCAATTGACTGATGAATCCAACAATCAGAATATTATTTAATTGTTTAACAATTTAGTTTTATAATAACTTTTGTATAGTTTTTATTCGTTGCTTTCTTTCTCTACATTTGTATCTCGCTCAGATCTCTGATGTTGGTTGTCCAATGACAGTCTTGATTCATTTAACGCATAATTAACAACCCTAAAACACTAAAATTAACTTAAAAATGAATAGAAAATTGTTAGCCTCGAAAAGTTATTAACATTTCATAAGAATTATCATGTCTGAACAATCATCATCATCACCACCACCAGCCCCAACACCACCGCAGCAACAACACTCTGAACATCAAGAACAATCACAAAGTCCACATAGTGAAATAGATAATGAATCCACACAGAATAATTCACCATCAATAATAACTATAAATCAAGATCAACGTGAAACATATACTAGAGAACGACGTCATGATCGTAATGTTTCATTTCGTCATAGACGACATCAAGATTTATCACCACGTTTTGAAGATGATCGTAATATTATTTATTTGAATGATCCAAATACTAGATATTATCGTTCACATAATCAATTAAGTGATTCATCAGGATTTTGGTTTCAACGTAGTGCTAGTGGTATGTTACATAATAATGTTGTTTTTTGTTATATGTATACATAAGGTATCAGATTTTGAGTATACTCATTGTTTATTTAATAAACTTGCAAGCTATGATAAAGTTAAGTTTGTTTAGAGGTAATCTTATAGCTCAAATGCATGATGTTCATAAGGTTTTGTTTACTGAGCTGGTTCTTTTTTTAGTTATGAAGCGAGTGCGGGATCGTGGATGCGCACTGTTGAGGAGTCCCATAATAGGACGAAACAGCCGTCCAGTGCTTCCAAGTTTTCCATGGTTGTCTAGCTTCAATTGACTCATGATTTCAACTATGAAAATACTGAAATCTCCACAAAATCCCTTCTGATCATGAAGCTTTTATCACCCTTCTCGGTATCATCACCAGCACAAGCTTCAGATAGAAGTGAGCTATTGAGCTTTCGTCGCATATGACTGACAACTTCTCCTATCGATCTTAATTAAGTATTATGAATCAATTATTTTGACAATACATTTATTATTATCAAAGAGATCGAGCTGGAAAATACCCACAATTTGATCGCCAACGTTTCGATGACAGCAAATGAACTATGAGAGAAGTTTCGAATAACAAACTATTAATCTTTGATCTACTGATCACTTGAAAGAGAGCAGAAATACTAGACTCAAATGTCTTGGAAGCCAACTGTCACGGATTAAATTCTCAACTGTAATATCAAAAACCCAAGAACTCGTAAAACCAACTGTGTATGTGCTCCATTTAAAATAGAGAGAACGTACTGCATAACACTTGAAGTAAAACAAAAATTATTTCACGACTATTTTTCGAAAAGAACAGTTATCGACGCAACTTCATCATTATCATCATCTACATAAACATCAACTAGCTGTCAAACTCCACAATGTATCTTCGGTCATACTGATGAACATGGACAATTATGAATATAAATTATACTGGAATTATGTTAAGGTTATATATATGGGGAATGAAAGGAAGACTAGGAAATGTTTAAAAGCCTGCCACTCAGATCAATAAGCACATAGAAATCTACTCAATGCTACAATCAACTAGAAAGATTGTGAACAGCTATAGCATAAAGAATCAGGTCAAGGAGGAAAATCATCAGATAATGACAAGCAAATCGTCAACAATAACCAAGCAACATCTAGGTTGAAAGAAAAAGCTTTCAGTCATATGTGAATAAATCCGTATAGCATACTTCTAACCAAAGCTTGTATTGATGATATTGTCTAGAAAGAAGATCGAATCATCCAGCTAAGGGAATAAGACTTCAGCGAAGGTGAATTACGGAATGTCAGTCATTTTATTTTTAAAAGACTAATCAGCTTTGAAGATTAGTATATTTCAACACTATTCTTCTTGTTCGAAAGTCCCTAGAGTTGGTTAGTGCATAGATAGACAATGAATATATCTAGTCAAGAAAAGAAGATGAAACGCAAGGAACAATAATGAAGGATGAAAATAAAATGAAAAACAGATCATCAATGCTAGAGTAATACATAGTGATAGGAGCTTAATTACCATATTATGGATCATTTGTTGAATTACTGTCCATAATTAACAGTTCCTGTGTTTATCAGAAGGGGGGTTTTGTAGATATTTTAGTAATTTTATATAGTTGAAATCATTTGTCAATTGAAACTAGATCACCATGGAAAACCTAGAAGCACTGGACGGGCGTTTCGTCCTATTGTGGGACTCTTCAGAAATGAACATCCACGATCCCACCTCACGAGATTCGAACCCAGGACCTATCAGTCTCACACTTGAGCACTTAACCGACAGACCACTGAACCGGCATTCTGTGTTTATTGAGCACCTATTGTAAATGAAATAAACATCACAACCCTAACATTTTTATCCTGTAGATATAATCTAAAGTTAAACTTTCTTTCAACTAATCATCTTTATTTCTGAGAGTTAACTTCTAGGAATTAAGACATTGTACTAATGACATTCAATTGTAGCCATGGATACAATACATACCTAATTTTATTGCATATAATTGTTTACAAAAGTAATCTGTCAATAGGTTAAGTGTTATCCATTAACTTGGTTAGAATAAAACAATTTTACTCTCAAATCTGAAGTTTTTGAATTCTCTTAAGTATTGCATACAAACAGAATATTAGGCAGATTCAAATGTCTCGTAAAAATCAGGAATTTGTTTACAGTTTGGCCCTCAAATGCCCTGGTACAGCCGAGAGTGGGGAGAGTCCGCTCTCCCTCTCGAAATGCTCTCACAATCTTGATGGAAATGATGATCCGTGTGGGATCTCAACATAGTGCAATGGATGCTAAATCATTAAAACAACTTGCCTTATGTTAATTTGATGAACAAAATTCAACTTGTACTATAAGACTAAACAGGCTTGTCATTGGTCACAATTCAGTATTATCTTGAAATTAATGTACTTAAGTACATAAACTTACAAGAAACTAATTCGATATGAAAAAAAGAGATTTTAATATTACTTACTGACTTACTTACGCCTGTTAACCACAATGGAGCATAGGACACCAATCATCATTTTCCAAGACACTCTGTTTTGGGCCTTCTTTTCTAATTCTATCCAGTTGTTGTTCATTTCTCTCATGTCTGTGTCCATTACTCTGAGTGATGTGTTCTTTGGTCTTCCTCTTCTCCTTTGGCCTTCAAAATCCCAAGCGAGGGCTTGCTTTGTGACGCAGTTAGGTGCTTTCCTCAATGTGTATCCTACTCACTTCCAGCACTTCTTCCTGATTTCTTCCTCCACTGCAATATGATTTGTTCTCTCTTACAGTAGGTTGTTGCTGATAATATCTGGCCAACGGATCTGAATTATTTTGTATAAACAAATGTCAATAAAAACTTGCATCTTCCGGTTGATAGCTTTCGTTGTTATTCAAGTTTCGTCCCCATACAGTAGAACTGTGCTGACATTTATATTGAAAATCCTGACAATTGTTTTCAATTCCAGATGTTCCCCAATTGTAAATATGCTGCTCTTGCTTTACGAATCCGCTCCTTCACATCTGCATCAGATCCAGTGTGCTCATCAATGATGCTGCCTAGATATGTGAAGGTTTCCACATCCTCCAAAGCTTCTCCATCAAGTGTAATTCGATCGGTGCATTCTGTATTGTATCGGAGAATCTTGCTTTCCCCTTTGTGTATATTGAGATCTACTGCTGCTGAGGCTGCTGCTACACTGGTCGTCTTTTCCTGCATTTGTTGTTGCGTGTGTGAATGGTAGCCAATATCTTATCAACATTACTGAATAAGCTTTGCAGGTCTTAGTTACTAAGATATTTGAATACAGAAAACTCACGTTCTTCTTACTAGACATTAACTTTTAAATGAATATTTATACCGTAATAGGAAACTGAGACAAGTTTTACAAAAGATTTGTTAATTAAACTTGTTTGTTTTTGTTATTCCTATCTAGCAAGAAATATCCGTTTGAGATCAGGAGTAAGCCATAATCATTTACATCAGCTCAACTTACATGTTGATGATAGATTAACAAATCAAATTCGTCGATCATTTCAAGATAGAAGTAATGGCTTAAGTCAGGATACATTAATTGAACGACAAAATGTAGTTTTGGTTCCAATGTATGGATTACTTCGTCCTCGACGATCAAGAAATAGATCACATAGATTATCAGCAGATCTAGAAAATCCACAACGTCGTCAAATAGAACTAGATGTTTCTGGTTTTCGAAATTTAAACAATTCACTTTCATCCCCATTGAACGAAGATACTGTAGATCGACCTATTATTTTCACTAATCCTACTGGTAGAAATCCTCATCCACAATCATTATCTAATAATACAGCACAAACACTATCTCTACGTTCACCAAATGAAGATAATAGTGAACGTGCTTTACAAACTGGTCGATCTCAACCACGAATAAGTTCCGTCCAACCATCCAGAGTTACACAATCTGTTCAAACAAGAGGTTTATATCAAGGTCAATTAAGACGTCCTCAAAATGATATACCTCTACAGCGTCATATAGATGCAAATCTTTGTGTAAATGATCCATCTGTTATGAATATTACTTCCAACACAAATCATCTAAACGGAATGCAACGGTATGAAAGTGGAGTGCCGAACAGAAGTTGTAATAATAACATCAGTAGTAGTAATCTTAATGCACAAACAAATGAAACACTTGCATCGTACAACTCACCTAATAATAGTAGAGACCGAGAAATCTATGTGTTACGTAATAATCAGTCATCAATTCAACCTCCTCAATTGTCTAGTATTGATAATGCTAGTATGACTACTAGTATAAGTGATGCTAGTAGTATTGAAGATTTGCATGTAACAGAAATTGTAGCTAATAGTCATAATGAATCAGTAATACATCGTCCTAGATTATATGAAACAAATAATTCAGATACTGAAAAAATTGTGAATAGACAAGAAGTTAAATATACAGAGAAGAGAACAGATCCAAATGATTGGAGGGTAAGTATCATTATTCTTAAAATGATTAATATTGAACTGTCGAAAGCATAGTCAGTAGTATAAACACATAAAAGATGATAGAACAAGTAATCAGATGGGAAAACAAAAGAAATAAGCTTCTATCAAAGGTGCTATCATTCGAAATCTATAGTCGTTATTATGACATGAAAAAGTGGACAATCAATTTCTTGAATACATTTTATATTGTAGATGGCGTCGAGTTTCGAATGACTATGATCACCACAGCCCCCAAATGCCCTGGTACAGCCAAAAGTGGAGAGAGTCAACTCTCCCTTCTCGAAATGCTCTCACATAGCCACGCGAATATATAGCCTCTGACAGGGAAGTCCTACTCATTGCACTCTCATGGCAAGGGTGTTGATTACGAAATTGAGAGGACAAAAAGCGAATGTCCGGCACTTTAACCGGGTTGGTGGACACGGAAAGTTCACCTAAAGTAGTTGAAAAATCCTCATTCCGAACCAATGGTGCACATGGGTTCCAGTATCCTGAAGGAACAAATGGCGTATGAACCAATCGTTGATAGAACAGCCCAGTTATATTGTTTCTAACTATAACACTGGATAACGGTACGTTCATAACATGAGAACTATATTCTCTCTATCTACAATATCGAGGGTGTAGGCGAACAACATATACTACTAATTAGTTCTATCACTTCAACTTCAGGTGAAATAGCCAGGTTTTTTTGTCAATAATCTTCAACTTTACTTACGTATTATCAGAAGGAGTTTGTGTGGAGATTTAGTATTTTCATAGTTGAAAGCATGAGCCCACAATGTGGGCGTGGGTTCGTATCCCACCTCCGACACACACTTTGGTGGTATAGCTTCAATTTACTCATGTAACTTTAGTAGTATACATTACAGAATAGTTTATTACGGGGAAATCTGATTAGAAAGCTTCACTTTATAATTTAGTTTCTATTCTAAGGTCATGTTTTAATAATTAAAAAAACAAATCAATATTGGGTGTTACTAAGTAGTATATAAGATCATATATTCATTGAATCAGTCTAAGAAGTGTTAGTGTTTCAATGGAATCATTATAAGCAAAAATGGATGGTGACTAGCAATGGAATCTAGTTTGACGCGCGTTTCGTCCTATTTGCGACTCGATAGTTGGATGTACCTGCATCTCAAAGTTGATGTTCACTTTAGGACTCTAACTCAGTACCGTTGACTTCAAATGCCATCGCGTTATCCACTTAGCTTCCGAGCTCTGATAGCCACTTGCTTGTGCAAGTGCGATCCTAAGCATCAGTGGGAAGATTCAACCAAACAATACTCAGTGAATTTAAACTTCACCCCATCGCACAACCAGGTGGCTATCATGACTCAGTAGCTCAATGGATAACGCGATGGAGCTTAAAGCGAAATGTACTGGATTCGAGTCCTAAAGTGAACATCAACTCTGAGATGCAGGTATATCCAGCCGAAGAGTCCAAAACAAGACGAAACGTTCATCCTGGATTCCACTACTAGCCACTAACCATCTTTGCTTATATGCAATAATAGATTCGAACAATCTAATTGCATATAATATACTTCTTAAGATCATGTTAGTTAAGTTGTTAAACAGAACATTAATGGAAAATGTCGATCCTCTTAAATTCACAAATTGATGGAAAGTTAATGGTATAGTACGATCTACTATAGCCTCGTTAGAAAAAGAAAAGCCTCTCTACATCATCGTACCGTTTAGAGCTGATTCAAATAGCCTTTTATTGAAACAAAGACTTAAATCAGTCATTAACAAGGTGTATTACACAGCAAAGTTCATTATCAAAGAAAAAAGAAGGTCCATGCTTCAATCAAAACCTAAAACACATGAAAACAATTGTGTTACATTCCACTGTGTTTATCAACTTGAATGTGTATGGCAACACATACATCGAGAGGAATAATCGTGATCTCAAAATTATGGTATATGAAGATATACTAAAATGGTTGTAGAAACAAATTAAATTGAATGATCAGAAGGGATTTTGTGGAGATCTCAGTATCTTAATATTTGAAATCATAAGTTAATTGAAGCTAGACCACCATGGAAAACCTGGAAACACTGGACGGCCGTTTCGTCCTATTGTGGGACTCCTCAGTATTGCGCATCCACGATCCCGACTGTCAAGCGAGATTCGAACCCGGAACCTACCAGTCTCGCGCCGGAGCACTTGACCGATAAACCACTGAGCAGGCCGGCATTCAACGGTGTTAATGTCTAACTTCAACCAATACACGACGTTTTTGAGTAACCGTTCACCATAATAGGACGAAATGGCCGTCCAGTGCTTTCAGGTTTTCCATGGTGGTCTAGCTTCAATTAACTCATGATTTCAAATATGATAAATCGAATGACCCAATAAGAGTAAATGATGTTCGTATACATTATCTTCTATTACTAAACACAATTGAAACAGGTCATAAGATTGATCTTAACTTGGCTTTCGTGATTTTGTACAAAAATGTAAAAGGACTTGTGCTATGGTTTATTGAAGCCTTAACCATACAAAAATTGAAAAACAGTTTGTTCTCACCCATAAAGCTATCCTGGTAATGTTCAAAATGTATTGCCTTAATCTATCAACACATAATTCTGATAATCTTCGTATTAGAAGTTAGACATTAACACCAGTGGATGCCAGCCAGCTCAGTGGTCTATCGGTTAAGGGCTCTGGCTCGAGACTGGTAGGTCCTGGGTTGCAATCTCGCTCGCGAGTGCGGAATCATGAATGCGCACTTCTGAGGAGTCCCACAATAGGACGAAACGGCCGTCCCTTGCTTTCAGGTTTTCAATGGTGGTCTAGCTTCAATTGACTTATGATTTCAACTATGAAAAATCTTCGTCTTATTATACTATCGAGATACTGTTTATAGTCTATTTTCTTTTGAAAAACTAATCATTACATACATTTTTATGTTGAAAGCTTTTGTCTTATCCAACTTGTTTTATAGCTCAGAACGGAGTTTTTTGGAGACTTTAGTAATTTAATAGTTGACTTCATGAGTTAATTACAACTAGACCATCATGACAAATCTGGAAGCCGTGATTAGTGGAGTTCAACCAAATCTGTTGTAAGACAGTTACTCACTGAAGACAATGCTAGACGGTGGCTTAATTCTACGGATTGGTTGAAGTTGGACATTAACTGCGTTGAACGCTGGTCATCTTAGTAGCCTAGTGTTTAAACGTTCGCGTTTGAAACCGATAGGTCCTGAATTCAAATACCATATGCGAGATTATGAAAGTTCATTGTTGAGGAGTTCCATTCTAGGACGGAAAGACCATCCAGTGCTTTCAGATCCTCCATAATGGTTCAGTCTTAATCAACTCATCATTTCAACTATTGTATTCTATAGATGTTTTATAATGAGTTATAATACATCTATAATATAAACGTTTTCTGAGTATCAGAAGCGGTTTTGTGAAGATTTAGTATTTAAATAGTTGAAAGCGTGAGTCAATTGAAGCTAGAACACCATGGAAAACCTGGAAGCACTAGACGACCGTTTCGTCATATTATGGGACTCCTCAGCAATTGGTGAACAGTTGCTCAACTTCATGGATCAGTTGAAGTTAGACATTAACACTGATGGATGCCAGCCAGCTCAGTGGTCTATCGGTTAAGTGCTCTGGCTTGAGACTGGTAGGTCATGGGTTGGAATCTCGCTCGCGAGGCGGGATCGTGGATGCGCACTACTGAGGAGTCCCATGCTGGGACGAGACGGTCGTACAGTGCTTCCAAGTATTCCATGGTTGTCTAATTTCAATTGATTCATGATTTTAACTATGAAAATACTAAATCTTTACAAAACCCCTTCTAATAAATTTTATGAGTAGTTTAATGTATACACAAAAGTGTATCTGACTAGATATGTACACATTTTCACAGATGTACTCTTAACAAACTACAATCATAGATTTTCTGTGTGTGTATGTGCTTTTTTCTTTATGTAATTCCATTAGAAAAATCAAAAGGTACTTTAATGTAATCAAAACAAAAACCTTAAAAAAACAAACCACCAAAAAAAACCCAACAAAAACACCCCCACAAAAGATTTTCATGTTTTGAAACTGGATCACATATATTGAACCGCGTGTGTAAAAATCTCTCTCTCTCTCATTGTGTGTGTGTGTGTGTGATGTATTGTGAATGAGAGAACCTTATAGATATGAAATTGATTTTCTTTTAAGTACTACTAATAAATCAATTTTATCAAAGTAGTATGTTTGTTTAGAATTAAAGTTATCAGTTTTGTGCTTGAAGTTACTAACTTCTATTCTGAACCATGTTGATAGATACAGATTCTTTGGTTATGGTCCACGTGACTATCGTAACCAATGGTTGAAGACTCTAGGTAACATGGCTCAAGATCGATCGATCACAATGGTGTAGGTGTATACACTCTCTGTTTTCCTGTACCATATCATAATATACAGTCTTTCTTTTATATATTACCACCATTAAATTATGTACTTCTATGAATTTGTTTTTCATTTTGTTGTGCTAATGAAATTATGGCAACTTAGACCGATGGATATATGTACCTGATCCTAAGTTGTAGCTGACTGATTAAGTTTTGTTTTATTTGTAACCCTGATTAATCTCTATTTATCCATATGGTTTGTGATGTAACTACTTACCAATATTATAACATGATTAAAGTCCATCATATAAACCATTAGATGCTGGTTTAGTGTCAAAAATTTTAAGTGTTCACGAAGAGATTTGAAGGGATAATGTAAGATCATTGATAGGGTCGTATGTTTGCATTATTCAGAAGTTTCATAATAGGATGAAATAGCGATTAAATTACTTACTTACTTACGCCTGTTACTCTAAATGTAGCATAAGACGACGATCAGCATTCTCCAAGACACTCTGTCCTGGGCCTTCCTTTCTCGTTCTATCCAACTTTTTGTTCATTCTCCTCATGTCCGTCTTCGTTTCTCGGCGTAATGCGTTATTTGGTCTTCCTCTTCTTTAACCTTCAGGATTCCATGTGAGGGCTTATCTTGTGACTCAGTTGGGCGATTTCCTCAATGTGTGTCCTATTCGCTTTTAGCACTTCTTCCTGATTTCTTCCTCCGCTAAAATCTGGTTTGTTCTCTCCGTACAGTAGTTTGTTGCTGATAGTGTCTAGCCAACGGATCGGAAGTATTTTGCATAGACAACTGTTCATAAACACTTGTATCTTCGAGATGATGGCCTTCGTAGTTCTCTATGTTTCCGCGTCATACAGTAGAACTATGTTGACATTTGTATTGAAAGTTCTGATCTTGGTGTTGGTTGACAATTGTTTTGAGTTCCAGATGTTCCTCAATTGTAATATGCTGCTCTTGCTTTGCGTATCCGCGTCTTCACATATTCATCATATCCACTGTGTTCATCAATGATGTTGCCTAGATATGTAAAGGTTTTCACATCCTCCAAAGCTTCTCCGTCAAGTGTGATTCGATTGGTGCATGTTGTATTGCATCGAAGAGTCTTGCTTTTCCCTTTGTTTATATTGAGACCTACTGCTTCTGAGGCTTCTGCTACACTGGTCATCTTCTCCTGCATTTGTTGTTGCGTTTGTGATAGAAGAGCCAGATCATATGCAAAGTCTAAATCATCCAGCTGCATCTCAGCTGTCAACTGTATCCCGTGCTTTCCGTGCTGGAGGAAAGCACGGGATACAGTGGACAGTACTTCCTATTTTTCAGAGTTCCTCTAAGACTAATCTGTGATTTAGACTATGAAATTAAATAGTCTCCACAAACCTTCTTATACTCGCAATCGGAAACAGTTCAACCCTGTTTTGGCTTATTATTATCAAACTATCAAGCGGTAAATTATAATTATCCATAATCATTCTGTTTTGTCGTATCCCTCCATTGCTATTTAAAGTAGATAAAGTATTAGATAAACAAGGGTTGCCTGTTTCGACCATAGTTTTCCTTACACACTAATGCTTGAATATTACATCTGTAGAGTATTGATAAATCATTCAGTTAACCAATCCATAACTCTTCTATTTGAGTATATTATGTTGACATTAAACGTACCTATCCACTGTCACTTTTGGTATGTAACCCTTAGTATACGGATCAATAATCATCAATTATGATTTTGATATTATTACCAACTTCTACTTCTTTATTTATGGTATTGAATCAGAGGTCTGATTCATCTGTAATTAGTAAACACTCCCCTTCCAGCCACAGTAACATAGTGAAGCCTAGTTGGCTCTTCTGGAGAAGAATTCTACATCAAAGCACGGCACAACTACCAGGGCTAAATAGCTGTTTTTGCATTGCTTACACAGAATCATTTCATCTTTCTATTTTTTGCGGCGGATTCATTGTTCCTTCTTTTTGAACCAACAATAATGATCTAATGATTCTTTGTAGCAATTTCAATCATTTGTGGGTATAGGTAAAGTGTTTGATTAGGCCGATCTCCATCACCCGGGTTACCGCCCATATTAGTACATGGAAACAGTCCCATGATCCAGGAGGCACAACGAGGTGGTGTGAGTCGGGTTTTGCCTCCCAATTAGTAAACACGTTTATACAAAATGATAGTACACTGAAAATTGTAAGATTCTGTATGAGATTTCTGATTTTACCACCAAAGACACGTGCTTCAGAAATAAGAATTTGTTGTTTTCTGCTTCAATTCTTTTAATGGCTAACAGATTAACATAAATATACTTGGATGTTTATAACCATACATATCCCATATCAGTTTGCTTGCCTTTTAGATTCAGGACAGGTATACTATATCGCCTATATTGATCATAGTGAAATAGTGGATTGAGTTGACTACTTGATTTGTCTTGAAAATTTCATAACCTTTAGTGGGTTAGTATCTAACTAAATCTTTGCATAAATTAAGAAAGCTCACTTAAGTGTTTCTAAATTCCATCACTTCTAACGTACAAATGACAATTTGTTTGTCAACTGAAAGATGATTATACGGCAAAACATTTTATTCCGTTTGATTTCGGCTTCTAAAGATATTCGTAGGTTACTAGTCTCTAAGTACATATACCTTCAAGATATTCATCATATACGTTGGGACTATCAAGTGACCGATGCAAAGTGCGAGGTAAAAGATAGCAAATCAATTTGTGAGGTGGGACATGTATTACGTTTTCTAAGCTACTATGTACTTCGATGTTGTGATTTTGTCTGGTAATGGATTAGGTTATGAGAAATTTAGGTTTGGTCAAACCACTATATGGTACAAAGCCACGAATTTGTAGGTTATCGGACTGACGAATGTCGCCAGTTGGAAACTGCATTTAATAGTTGAAATCATGAGTCGGTTGAAGCTAAAACACTATGGAAAACCTGAAAGCACTGGACAGCCGTTTCGTCATATTATGGGACTCCTCATCAGTGCGCATCCACCATCCCGCCTCACGAGATTCAAACCCAGAACCTATCAGTCTCGCGCGCGAGCGCTATATGATTACTGAACAATTATACGTTACAGTCAATACATTATAGTCAATCCATCAATCCTAACTTCAACTAGTAATATTGTAGGTATTCTCAAAAATCTCATTGATTCCTTTCAAATGCTCTAGGAGGCGGACAATTTCTATCTATATAGATATTGATAGATTTATTTATTATGTAGAAACTGTTGACACATTCCAACATGATTGTTGTTTTTTTCTTCTTTAAACTATCTATTTACAATGGGTTGTTTTGATTGTCTATAAACCAAAAAGAAAATTCATCACGTTCATACATAATCAACGTTTATGTCACATAGATAAATAGAAGATCTAATAGACTTCTTCGACCTATGATAGTGTTGTCTAATTTCTTGTCTAGTGAAATACTCATTTCTTACCACAGAATCTGTCCTAGTTAGCTCCAAATTAGCTTCACTAGTGACTGGCTCCATGAGGTATTTCATGAGGTTCTAATGAGAAGCAGTAAACAGTGAAGTTCAACCAGGTTTGTTGGGAAATATCAGCTCACTGAAGACATTGGTAAATGGTTGCTCAATTTCGTGGATTGGTTGAAGTTAGACATTAACACCTTTGGATGCCAGCTCAGTGGACGACCATTTCGTGCTATTGTGAAACTGCTCATCAGTGCGCATCCACGATCTCGCTTAGAGAGATTCAAACCCAGAACCTATCAGTCTCGCACACTAGCGCTTAACCTCTAGACCACTGAACTGGCCAGCATTCAACGGTAATAATGTCTAACTTCAACTAATCCACTAAATTGAGCAACCATTTACCAATTTCTTCAGTGAGCTGATATCTCCCAACAAACCTGGTTGAACTTCACTGTTTACTGCTTCTCACTAGAACTCCTAGAAAAACCTCATTAAAGCCATTCACTAGTGAGTATATGCTGATTATTAATATAAAAAGTTTCTTGTGGATATTATAGTAATGTTAATAGTTGAGATCACGAATCAATTGAAGCTAGACCACCATGAAGAACCTAGGAGCACTGAACGACCGTTTCGTCCTATTATGCGTCTGCTCATCAGTGCGCATGCACGATCCCGCCAGGCGAGATCTTTCTAATCAATCATAGAGTCTCATAGATACCTCATTGAAGCTAGTCACTAATGAGCATATGATCATTATTATTATTTCTATTATTGATAAACACAGTTAATTGATTTCATCCATTCATACTTATTTATTCATTTTCTTATTCTATATATATTCAATATAGGCTAATTTATTTGGTAGTCGTCAATTATGGCGTCAGATGCTTATAACAGAAAGATTTGCTGATGTATGGTTTATTGTTGGTGGTGAAGATATATTAGGTAATAATAGTACACTTAGTTTATATTCAAATGATTCTAGTGCACCTGGTGGTCCAACAAGTCAATTAAATTGTTGTACTAATAAACAATTATTAAATGTTGCACAACGTACTACTCATTGTTCAAATGGGATGAATAAATCCCGCCCAATATACAACACTAATGATAGTAATAATGGTAATGGTAATGGTAATAGTAATAATACTAATCCTCCTACTACAATTACCATTTCTACTCGTCCTATTACTACTACTACTAATAATAATAGTAATAGTAATCATAATGATAGTAACCATGTATTGAATACTTCATTGGATCTATTACATTCAAGATGTATCGATTCAGATCAAGAGAATACCATTGATGATGCAACTGATTTAAATTCGGATGGTGAACAACCACCATCTTGTCGTTCAGATCATAATAATAATACAGATAATAATAATACACTAATGATTCAACATAAAGATAATAAAAATCAGTTTAAATACAATTCACCTAATACTAATCCCATGGATACAGGGAAAGGGAATCTTATTGGATCATTGAATGGAATAAATGATAAAGAACCAATAGTATGGCGTTTTGCTGCACATCGTTTAATATTAGCTGCAGCATCACCAGTATTTGAAGCAATGTTTTATGGACCAATGGCTGATTGTGATAATAAAAATTTAGAAAATCGTCGAGAATATCATATACCAGATATACATCCAAAGGTAAGATATCTTAATGTTTTACTCCCCATATATATATGGATTCAAGTTGTTGTAGGATTGGCTTTGTTTCTCAGTGCCAATGTGAATCTTGCTATTAGATGATGTTTATTGAGATTTTCGAACTGTTAGTTTGCATGATGAACTGACGTTAGAGAGATAACCATTGAAAAAGAAGGAACGATTAGTACTGTTATGTATGAGTATTCCCATCAGTCTCACCACTACCTTACTGGGCACCATATGCAAGATCTTCAGGTCTACTTATAAGCTTCATTTGCATCTTGACATATGAATGAGATTGTAAATGATTACTTGCTCAGAATGTAGGTAGTACGTAGATGTGTCACTCCCAATGGAGCATAGGCTGCCGACCAGCATTCTCCAGAGTGGGTTGGAGAATGCTGCGGCCTATGCTCCATTAGGAGTAACAGGCGTAAGTAAGTAAGTAAGTAAGTAAGTATCATAGATGTGTCAAGACTGATAAGTTTCAGCAACAACCGTCTACACAAGAAATCAGCAATAATACGATAAGTTAAATCTCTTAGGGTTACTATAGATGGGAGTATATCAATTAAGCAATTTTTGATTATATGATTTTAATAGTTAGTTGAGGAAGATCTCTTATACTTATTCAACATGACAATACTTGCGAAAATTAAATCAAAAAGTAGAAGCCCGGTTAAAAGAGAAGCGTAGAAACTGAACTTGCTTAAAAACGTCAACGAGAAAAAAAACAATTTAAACCATTTAAAATCTGTCCTGGAAGTTGGAGGATCTTCATGAAGAAAAATTAGGACACTTCATGGCGAAAGCCGAGATTCTTAAAAAACAGGAGACCGATACCCCTTCTAACAACCATTGCAACAATTAATATGGGTACCTGAAATAAATGAACAATGTGATAGACCGAGAGGGCCAATGAGATAGCTACGGAAATGAAGAGGTATAACTTCGTCGTTATCAGAATAAGTGAAAACCATTTGACCCAAACTAGACAAAAAAGGATAGATTCAGGAGAGATGCTGTTGCACTCTGGTCATGAAGGAGAAAATACTCTGCACTGATGTTGTCTAAAGAAGCACGAAAATCACTTATGGAATGGGAATCTCATCGATCCAGAATCATCAAAGCATCCTTCAAGACGAACAAGAAATGGATCACTGTGAATGTGGTCCTATGTTATACTCCAGCCAATGATGGCGACGACGACGGCGACGATAGAGGTCAGTTTTATGAGAGGCTGCAATCGATCATAGCGAAGTGCCCAGGAAGGACCTGATCATCCTGAAGATAGACTTAAATGCCAAAGTTGGGATGGAAAACACCCGATATCAAGATTTCATGGGACAATATGGACTGGAGGAAAGAAATGAGAATGGTGAGACACCTGGAAATTTATGTCTATTCATAAAATTTTCAAAAATAATCGGAGTTCATGCGACGGACTACATTGCAAGTTTGTGCATGGAGAACAGGTGTCTGACGCATTCCTAGTGAGGATCAGTCAGACGAGGCGGTTTATTCTCTCCCTTTCTCTTTCTTCTGGTGGTCGACAGCATTATGAAGACCTTCACACCCGACGGTAAGCATGGAATACAATGGACAGCTTGGATGCAGATAGACGATTTGGACTTCTCAGATGAACTAGATCTATTCCATATACATCAACAAATGCAGGTCAAGACAAACACTGTAACATCAGCCTCTGAATCAGTAGGCCTCAATATTCACAAGAGAGAAAGCAAGATCCTCAAATACAGCACGGAGAGCATCAGTTCAATTACACTTGTTAAAGGTCTGGAAGATGTGGACATTTTCATCGACCTGGACAGCACCATCGATGAACAAGGATGATCTGATGCGTATGTTAAGGCAAGGATTGGCAAAACAGGGGCTTTATTTTTACATTTGAAGAAAATATGGAACTTAAACTAACTGTTAACCAATATCAAAGTTACAATCTTCAATACAAACGTCAAGACAGTTCTACTGTACGAAACTGAAACTTGAAGAACTACCACAACCATTCTCAAAACGGTACAAGTAGTTATAGACAACTGTCTACGCGAGATAACCCAGATCCGCTAGACGGATACCATCAACAACAACCTACTATGAAAGAAAACACACCAACTACTAGCTTGGGAAAATTATGAGAAAACGCTAAGGATGAATGGGACATATATTGAGGAAATCATCAGACTACATCACAAGGCAAGCGATAACTTGGAATCCTGAAGGGAAAAGGAGAAAAGAAAAATCAGGGAACACATTGCGTCAGGAATCGGAAGCAGACATAGAGAAAATGAATAGATATTAAAAACAACCGTAAAGGATTGTCAAGGACAGAGTTCTATGGAGAAAGCTGGTGGGCGGCTTAAGTTTGTCTACAAGGGGTAACAGAAGTAAGTAAGTAATATCAAACTGATTGAAAGCTGAATATATCATAACTGTTGAACTACATCTTCATTTCTATAACATTAAACCATGTTCAATCATCAATGATAGAATTCAAGATCGAAGTGTTGATATATTCAAAAGTTATTCGTTGAATATACATCTATAACTTTGTATAAAAGTTTCAAAATGAGTCATGAACTCTTATGTATATTGTCATTTGAGTTTAAAACCATTGGTTAAGGAGTTACTATATGTAAATCATTGTAATGAATAATTGATATGCATAGACATAACAAAAAGTTCTTATGTTTACATGTTTCTAAGTTAAAACAAAATTTGCATAAAAATTGAAAATTTATCAAATACAATAAACTTTTATAACTTTTCAATACTCTGTTCACATAGTTAATGAATGAATCATTGTACATTTAGTCATATACATAGGGTATTAGGAAATGATGATAAATCTGATGATGTGGTTATGAATCTAAATCGATTGAGATGGTTGGGCCACGTGTTATTACATATGCCTGAACACCGATTACCATGACGTGCTATGCTGACTAGTATAGGCGATGGTTGGAAGAAAGTTAGGGGCGGACAAACCATAACGTAGCATCAAAGCATTAAGTCACTAACTTCTAGTCTAAACCATGTTGGTAGATACAGACTACTTGGTTGGGGTCTGCGTGATTATCGTAACCAATGGTTGGAGACTCTAGGTGACATGACTCAGAATCGATCACAATGGTGTAGGTGTATACACTCTTTATCTTCCCTTAAACCTTGAGATTGAAATTGCTTCATATCTTTCTTCTTGTACCACATCGTTATCTACAATCTTTCTTTTATATATTACCATTACTAAATCAACTACTATGAATTTGGTGTTCATATTGTTGTGCTAATATGAGGTAATGGCAACTTGGACCGATGGATATATGTGCCTGGTCCTACGTCGTGGATGACTGACATTTATTCAAATTATGTAATGTAGATATTGATCAGTTAGTGGAAATTATTGTGAACTGAGGTGTATTAGATGTATTGTTAGTAAAGAAAGCAAAAGTTGTGTAGATTGTTAAGTTTAGCGCTTCGCATTATTGACTAACTTTAGTTAAGGAACTGTTGTAAACCAGGAAGCATTGAATAGCTGTTTCGTCCCAATACAGGACTTCTCACAAGTTCATATCCCCCACTTCACCGGGAATAGAAATCAGGACCTTCATTTTTCATGTCAAGTGCATTTCTAGCTCTAGTGAATTCACGGTATCGCAAAGATATCGCACATATCACTAACTGATATTAACACCGTCTCCTGAGTAGCTAAATTATATTGATCATAGTTTCTTATCAGAAGTCATGGGATTCCCTCTAGGAATTAGTCTCTAATGAATACATATTAATTATTAGTATAGAGAGACTCCCTGAGTGCTATATTTGTAGTTCTACATCATTAAGATGGAGTTTCGAGCAACTAGCTTTATCTAAGATTATCATAATTTTACATTATTGTTACATTACAAAACCACGATGTCTCTGGTTGAGCCCTTTTGTAATTTGTAAAGAGAAATGTCATAAACCTTTCACAAATATACCTGAATAGGTTATGAGACTAATAAGTATAATAGTGTGTTAAAACAAACTATAAAACAGATAAACTGTCTAAATATCCAGATGCCAGCGAACAGGTAGCCCAGATATTCAAGCAGGCTGCTTTAGTCCTGCGAGTTGTCAGAATTAAGTAACAAAACTTTAGAAACTCACATTCACAATTTTCGAACTTTAAAGACATGAAGTTCATTGAAGGGATCCATTCTCAATGAATTTATGATTAAACTGTATAACCGTACATGTATATGAAGTGTTATAAGTAAACATTCTGTGAGGACAAATAAACATGTATTAGACAGATTACAATACCAGATTATGTAATGTAAATAATAGCAATAAAAAAAGTTTGACGAAGTTTTGTTCTCCAAGCTGGATGATTTGATCGTGGAGCTTTCGTCGTTCTTTTGAACGACATCGTCAGTATAAACTTCAGGTAGAAGTATATGTATGTGAAAATAAGCCTTGTAATATCAATAAATTAGCGACATATTATAATGTGAATAGAATTATTCTGATAGCTTAATCATAAATTTGTTGAAAAGGAATCTCTTTTCACCAAACTGATCATAGCTGAATTACTACTGATAATCGAGAAAACACTGAAAACGTGTTTCATTCTAGCACGGGCGTTTGTAACGATGTACATCCATTAACCTGACGTGGACGCGCAGTGTTTTGATGAAAGCAACACATTCGTTGATCCACATATATTGTAATTATAAGGCTAAAAAAACTTGTGTAAATAGAATAATAAAAGATGTTTGATGACAAGAACAATTCCTCTGTTTTGCCGAATAAAAACTCATTTGATCAATACAGTATTCAACTACCTAAGAAGTAGATTATTCAGCTAACCGTTTATGGTTTCAGAAAAAACTTTTTTGACACAAAATTCATCGAAACATAAAGTAAGTTCGATTGACTATCAGAACTCAGTAACTAAGTCAATAACGCGATGTTGTTTGAAGTGAATGATACTGGGTTAGAGTCCCAGGGTGAATATCAACTCTGACATGCCAGTACATCCAGCACGCAAGTCCCTAATAAGAGAAAACGCCCATCAAACTGGATTTCTCTGCTAGCCGCTTGTTATATCCTAGTGCAGACGTAACTATAGGTAACTTCCGGGACCTATTATTGAACGATTATTCTATATATATTTCTATTGTATAACTGTTCAATAACTAGATTATGTTCATCTATATTCCTCTTATCACAAGATTCATTTTGACCTATCAACTATTATTATACGATTCACTGTCCCCAAATTATGTTCAGTTTATTAATTAACGTCTCTCATGTTCATAGCCACGTTTGGCTTGATCTTGTAGAAATACTATTTTCTATTTTATGCAGTGATGTGGTCTGTTTATCTGGTATATAAACCAAACAAAAGCAATAATTGATGTTCTAGACTTAATTGGAATGGCTAGGCAGACAAAGGACCAATAAGGACGCTAGACTAATCATACTAGTCGAACGTCATTGATTTGGCGCAGTGCCAAGATTGAAATGAAGTTCTATTGTATGATAGAAATTACTTATCATCATCCCAAACCCTAACACCTTCGTTTGTTTTTCTTTAAAATTTTAGGCATTTCAAATTATGTTATCTTATATCTACAGTGATGAATTATTAGTTGAGAATGATATAAATTTATTATTCTATGTATTATATGCAACCAAAAAGTATATACTACCACGTTTAACACAAATATGTGTTGAATATTTAAAAGTAGGTCTGTTCAGTTTTGTTTGTTCTTTGTTATTGTTGTTGTTGTTGTTGTTAATATGTAACTAAAGCGAACAATGTTTGATGGCTGAAAGTAGTCATCTAGGGAATGGTGAACCTAGATGGCATTCTTTCAGCAAGGTATACTTGCAATCTTGAGAAAACTGGATTCACTAGACTGCCGTTTCGTCCTAGCATGAGACTCTTTAGCAGTGCGCATCCACGATCTCATCCACAGGATTCGAACCCAGGGTTTTGGATTTCGTGCGTCAACGCTTACACTCTAGACCACTGACTCGGCATTCAATGATGTTAATGTCTAACTTTAATCAATCCGCAATATTGCACGACAATCGATGGTAACATTCTAGCCATCTTCATATAATCTGACTAAAAATCATTTCTGTATAGTTCAACTGGGAAAAACACTTATCTACTGGCATGGAAAAGATGAACATTTCTGAAAAATAAAGAGCTATCTTTAGAAACTGTTAGAAATTTATGCCTTCTCATTAGAGAAGTTTTTATTTTTCTACTGAACAATGAGCAATAACTAATACATAAAGTCTAATAGAACATTTTGGCTACATTAACCAGAGTTCACTGAGCATCTACATTCAAAAAGGCAAATGCCTATCCTCTAAACTGGTAAATTTTACTTTCACATTATTTTTTTATTATTTATTTAAACACATTATCATTGGTACAAAGGGGCACCGAATACATATGCGCCACATAAACCATTCGATTTGTGCCAGGGCTGGGATACCGCTCGAGTGCCAAGACCGAGGCAAGTAATTTTCTTAGGGAGCCACACGTGGAGCCTTTGACTTAAAGGTCTAACCCACAAAGTAGTGGAGCATCGTTAGGAGATGCAGCCCCATGGTAATCGGAGACCAACGATTGATTCACACACCATTTGTTCCTTGAATATACTGGAGCCCATGTAAACCATTGATTTGGAATCAGTGTTTTCCAACTCCGCTAGGTGAATCTTCCACATCTACCAACCCGGTTAAAGCTCAGGACATTCTCTTTTCGTCTTCTCAATTTCGTAAAGAACACCGCCGCCACATAAATTACTAAATTGATTAGATGAATAAAGAGTATTTTGAAAAAACTAATTTATCTTTGTTTCTCTACCTTGTCTTATTTACTTGTAGGATTTAATTACAGCTGAAAATGTTTGTATGATGCTTGATCGAAGTATATTCTTTGATGAAGATGATCTAACTCGTCGATGTTGGCATGTAATCGATGTTTTGGTAAGATTTCTATTACCTTTGATATTTCATTGGTAATATTCAGTAGTCAGCTTTGAACTTTAATGTCAAGTTTACTGGTATACTTTTAGTCATGTGAGAATTGAAGCTTCATACAAGACTTGGACACAACATCAATCTATTCGTTATGCAAGTGATTTCTTATAGACCTTAGATATTGACTCTGATTAATTAGTGAGTAGTAATTAATGTCATATTTGTGTATTCCTTGATCCTGGTTGAAGTTCTCTCGGTCAATCTATAAACAGAACAATAATCTTGGCGATTCAATAGTGTGCAGGATGTTTTCATTTCAGATAGCTGAATGGAATCCCCAAAGAATCCCTTAAGAGTATTAGTTCTCAGTAAGATGTATCTATAATATCAGAGACGGGTGAACCAAATTGATCGACAGAATTAAATCATTGATTTCGACTGGAAATTCGTTACTGAACAGTGACCGTTCAATGTTAGCTTGATTGAACAAACTATTGATCCAATGTCTATCAGTCAAATCATAGAAATATTTTCAAATAATTAAGCTGTACTTACTTACTTAGCTACATACGCCTATGACCCCTCGTGGAGGAGCATAGGCCGCTAGTTAGCGTTTTCTTAGGGAGTTAGTTTATCTACGGGATGGGGTCGCTAACCCCATGCCCAATCCTCCTTTTTTACCCGGGCTTGGGACCGGCAGTAACTCTGGAAGAGCTACAGGCGGTGTTAATTAAGCTGTACATTTTGCTTAATAATAATAACTGAAATATTTCAATGTTTTGAATTTGATTTGATCTATACTTTATATTCTACATCCACTGGGTATGTTAGACTTTAAAGCATGAAAATGATCTAGAATGCATTTTTACATGGTTGATATTAAATAATTCAATTGATGAATCTCTGTCAGGAAATATTGAACTACCCTTATTCATTTTCTTAGTAAGTAGTATGTTTGGATGTGAAGCAATACGTACTTTGGTTGCGTCTACGCGTAAATATTGCCAACGGGATGCAAGTACAAACATCTGAATTGTCTTAGATTTAGATCATGAACCAATCGATGTTAGGCTACCATTGAAAACGTGAAAGCACTGGACTGTTGTTTCGTCCTAGCAAGGAACTCATCGACAGTGTTCATCCACTATCCTGCCCGCAGGATTAGAACCCAAGGCTTTTGATTTCACGTCTAGACGTTTAACATGACTTATTTCTGAAGAAAGAATGATAATCACTTAATATATTCCACTGATAGTCACAATTTACTTGTTCTGATTCTAATCAACTATTATAATCAATTTATCTAGATAGTCAATAGAGTTTACAATTTCTGAGATCTTCAAATTATATTTATGAATCAACAGAATATAAGATGAATGTCCTATAGTTGAAATCATGAGCCAATTGTAGCTAGAACACCATGAAAAACCTAAAAGTACTAGACGACCGTTTCGTCCCATTGTGATACTTCTCACAAGTGCACATCCACCATCTGGCCTCGCCAGATTCGAACTCAGGACCTATCAATCTCGCACGTGAGCGCTTAACCACTAGACCACTTAGTCGATCGACATCCAACGGTGTTAATGTCTAACTTCAACTAATCCACGAATGTTCATAAGTATATTCTTTTAAGTTAAGATTTATATCTTTCTAGATTATATACGTATAACACATGTATAGTATATAAATAGTAGTAAATACTCAATTAAGGCATTTACTAAATACAAAATCTGAGTAATGAGTATGTACTTGATTGATTTGTAGTTTAGAAATAAAAAGTTACGACAGATATGTATGAATCAAATGATAGACAACAGATTTCATATAAAAGTAACTTACTTACTAAAGTAAGTAAGTAAGTCAATTGAAATTATGAAAATTCTATCATATACAGTTTAATGTATATGAAACTGTTCTCTATGAAAATATTTTCTATTTTTGGAAAATAGGTATATCACAAGTTATTGTTTACTTGAATCTTCCCATTGACTTTTAAGACTGCAATTGATTAGTTTGTTTCTCATTGGTATATATGCATCCTGTGAGAATTTCCTCGATATAGCCTTAATTCATAAGTATTATAAACAAATATGGATAGTGACTACCAGTGGAATTCAGTTTAACGGACGTTTTATCTTATTTAGGACTTGTCTTTTGAATTTACTCGCATCTCAGGGTTGATTTTCACTCTTGGACTCGAATCCAGTACCGTTAACTTCAAACACCATCGCATTATTGACTTACCTACTAAGTCCTGTTAGCCATATATTTATGGAACGGGGTGAAGTTTAAACTCACTTGGTATTGGTTTGTTGAATTTTTCCATTGATGGTTAGTACAGCAATTAATTGGTCTATTATTGGCAAACGTACATCGTGTGCGTATTGCCTTAGTTCACAAGCATTATAAGAAAAGATGGATAGTGGTTATAAATGGAGTTCAGAACGTGCATTTCGTTCTATTTGTGACCTATCAGCTCTTAATATTGGATGTGCCTGGGATGCAGGTGCGTTCAGCTGAAGAGCCCCAAATAAAATGAAACGCGCGCCAATCTGGATTCCACTGCTAGCCACTACTCATCTTTACTTACTATGCTTGTGAATTAAGGCTATATCGAAGCAATATGCACAGTATTCATATATGTCAATGAGAGACTGACCAGTTGCAATCCTAAACACCAATTGAATTTAAACTTCACCCCATTGCACAGCCAGGTGGCTATCAGGACTCAGTAACTGAGTGGATAACGCAATGGCGTTTGAAGCGAAAGGTACTAGATTTGAGTTCCAGAGTGAACATTAAGTCAGAGATGCAGGTACATACAGCTGACGAGTTCCGAATAGGTTGAAACGCGCGTCAAACTAGATTCCACTGCTAGTCACTATCTATCTTTGTTTATACATTCATATATTAAAATGTAAAAGTACATTATTTAATAAGATCTAATTCATAAATTGATTTAACTAAAACATTCATCACAAATATGCCAATAATGCGAAGTATATAATACACATACAATATAAATGAATGCACTTTAAAATACATCATTGTTATCAAAGTATACATTTCATTAGTTTATAATGATAAGGAACATAAAGTTAATTACTTACGCCTTTTACCCCTCGTTGAGGAGTATAGGCCGCCCACCAGCATTCTCCACCCAACTCTGTCCTGAGCAATCCTTTCCAGTTGTTATTCATCCATTTCATATCTGTTTCTATCCCCTGACGTGATGTAAACATAAACTACTTGATACTTTAAATGATCTATTTCTCGATCTTAATGACAAGTGTTGATTAAATTTTGAGCCAAATGATTAATTAAGCATTTTAAATGCTTACTTACAACTGTTAGCCCTCTCACGTAGAACAGCATAGGCTGCCCACCAACATTCTTTATCCAACGTTGTTTTAGGTAGTCCTTTCCAATCTGTTTCCAATTACTATTCATCCTTTTCATGTCTTATTACAATTCTTAACGCAATGTGTTCTTTGACCTTCCTCATTTTTCTTTACATCCAAGATCCCAACTTAGCATCTACTTAACGATATAATTTGGTGATTGACTGAATGTATGTCCTTTACACTTCTAACATCTTTTTCTAATTTCCTCCTCATATGGAAGCTGGTTTACTTCCTCCCGCAAAGTAGTATTTTACTGATAGAATCTAGGCAACAGATTTGAATTATCTTGAGTAGACCTATTCTTTAATAGTTTTTCAAGAAGATGAATGGATAGTGGCTAGCAGTGTCAGTCAGCTACAACGTAGAACCAAGCACATTTATTCATCGGTCCAAGTTGCCATACCTCGTAAGCACAACAAGATGAACACCGAATTCATAAAAGTAGTTAATTTAGTGGTGTTAATATATAAAAGAAAGATTGTATATAAGGATATAGTATAGAAAGAAAGACAGATATGAAGCAATTTTATTCTCAAGGTTTAAAGGAAGATAAAGAGTGCACACACCTATGCCATTGTGTTCGATTCTGATCCACATCACACAGAGTCTCCAACCATTGATTACGATAGTCATGAGGACCCCAACCAAGTATTCTACATCTACCAACATGGCTCAGACTAGAAGTTAATGAATTCAAGTGCATTTCGTCCCATTTAATGCTCGTCAGCTGGATGTACCTACATCTCAGAGTTGATGTTTACTCTAGGATTCGAACCCAGTACACTTCAATAAAAATTGTAATATCCAAATGTACAAAGAACTTTAAATTTACTAAACCTTGTCCTTTTAGTTGTTCTTCTATTATTCAATCAACACATAAACCACATGCTGCATTTTTGGCATGTGATTCACCAAAAAAAAGAAAAAAAGAAAGAAAGAAAAAACTAAAAAAAACGAATTACATAACATAAAGAAGTTTAATGAAAATAAAAAAGAGAAAAAATTTCTCCAACATTAACCTACACTAGATGCTGAAATAGCCTTATTTAATTCATTGAATCTATTTCATATTTAATTAGTTATTATGATTTTATATATAACAATAAAAATGAAAGTTTTTATTTATTTTAACATATAAATGTTGGTACAAATGGGCACCAGATATATATATGCGCCACACAAATTTCATTTGATTTGTGTGAGGGCTGGTATGCTGCCCAGGTGCCAAAACTGAAGCAAGTGGTTTTATTAGGGAGTCACTTCCGAAGCCTTTGATCTAAACATTTGATCCACATGGCAGTGGAGCATCATAAGGAGATACAGTCCCATGGTAGCCGATGACCAACGATTGGCTCATACGCCTTTTTTTTCCTCAAAATACTAGAGCCAGCCTATATGCATCATTGGTTAAGAAACAGGGTTTTCCAACTCCCCTAGGTGAACTTTCCGTGTCCATCAACTCGGTTAAAGCGCCTGACATTCGCTTTTCATCCTCTCGATTTCGTTAACAACAGTAAAGTCACGAGAAGATAGTGGGTAGGACTTTCCTGGCAGAGACTATATACGCGTGGCCATGTGAGAGCATTTCGAGAGGAAGAGCTGTTTCTCCCTACTCTCGGCCGTACCAAGGTATTTGAGGAGCAAAAAATGAAAGTAGAAACTTTAAATTCACAAAAAAGATTTTGTGGATATTCTGGTACATTACTAGTCGAGTTTATAAGCTTATTGTAGTTAGATTATTATGAAAAAGACGTGGAAATACTGAATTTACACTGCTGAAGAGTTTCACATTGGGACGAAACACCTCATATACCCAACTATTAAACTTTAAACTATTCATTACATTAAAAAAGTTCAGGGAAGTTCACATTAGTAACTGAATTTAGGTTAAGAAACCAAAATCAAAACAAAGAAAAGAAAGTAGGAATTCAAAGATCAGTGGGTATTGATTTCTTCTGAGTAAAATACCCAGTATTACAAGTTTAGATTGGATGAATATAACAACCGCCCCCCGCTAAATTTATGATAAAAATGCAGATTGTAGGTAGTTAGGAAAGTATGCGATTGTAGAAATATAATGTTATATCTAGATTCTTGATATACTGCATATAACTTGAGGATTCGAACGCTAGAACCTTTAAATTCGTAAACGAGAAAATAGAAGACAAATGAGAAGGAATGCTATTCTAAAGAGTGTCAAATATGATACGAAATTATCAGGTATTGATAGCTGTTTGGCATAAACGTAATCTTCATAGTTGAAATCATGAGTCAATTGAAGCTAGACCACCATCGAAAACCTAGAAGCACTGGATGGCCGTTTCGTCCTATTATGGGACTCCTCAGCAGTGCGAATCCACGATACCGCACTCACGAGATTCGAACCCAGGATCTATCAGTCTCAAGCTAGAGCACTTGACCAATAGACCACTGAGCCGGCCGGCATATAACGGAGTTAATGTCTAACTTCAACCAATCCACGAAGTTGAGCAACCGTTCACCAATTGTCTTCAGTGAGTTGATATCTCTACAACAGACGTGGTTGAACTCCACTGGTCACTGCTTCCCACTAGAACTCAAGGAAATACGTCTTGAATTTAGTCACTAGTGTGTATATGATTATAGATCAGAAGGGGTTTTGTGGTGGTCTAGCTTCAATTGACTCATGATTACAACTATAAAAATACTAAATTCTTCACAAAACCACTTCTGAAAAACGAAATCATTATTATAGTCATCCAATCTGCATACGGTGGTTTTTAGCATTTGTCCAATATGGAAGCTTCATGTAGAGATTCGGGAATGTTCTTCCAAAGGATCATTGGGTTGAACATTTTCAGCTTCCTAAAGCTTCCTCGAGTTCACCTGTAGGCCGTCCTCAGAGATAGTATTCTGATTACTGGAAAAATCAACGTTGGATTCAGTTAATTATAGACAATGTAAGGTATGAAACAGACATGCGTCTTTATAAGCTGTCACATTCAATTTCACCACGATAAGGAAAAATTTAAATGAGTTAACAAAATTATCTAATTAAATTAAATAGATTATCTGTAGCCATAAAATTCGAATGCCTTGAATTGTATCCCTGTTTGAGCTCATGTATGTATATCGCTTAGGAATCTTTCACTTAGATTAAACAAACGTGGAATGGTTCGTGACTATCAATAGTTCCCGAACTATGAAAATATTAAACGTACACAAAACTCCTTCGGATAATAATAATAATAATAATAATAATAATAATAATTTGCTCACTAGTGACTGACTTCGAGGGGTAAATCCAGGAGTTCTAGTGAGAAGCAGTGACCAGTGGAGTTCAAACCACGTCTGTTGTGAGATATCAACTCACTGAAGACAATTGGTGAATGGTTGCTCAACTTCGTGCATCAGTTGAAGTTAGACATTAACACCGTTAGATGACGGTTGGCTCAGTGGTTAAGCGCTCACGCGCGAGACTGATAGATCCTGGGTTTGAATCTCGCTCGCGAGTGCGGATTCGCAGTGCTGAGGAGTCCCATAATAGGACGAAACGGCCTTAAATCAGTGCTTTAAGGTTTTCGATGGTGGTCTAGCTTCAATTGACTCACGTCGTCGAGACTATCAATCTTCGTACAACCTCTGATATCATTATGAATCATTATTATTATTTCATAATGTTTGTAACTCATTTATTCTGATTTTTGCTTTTTTTTTATTTTAGGCACCAGATGTATTAGTTTCACAAGGTTTATTAACATTAAATTCAAACTGTGTTCATGATTTAGTTAGTCGGAATACATTAAATTGTCAAGAATCTGAAGTATTTGCAGCTGTTGGACGTTGGGCTGGAGCTGAATGTAATCGTTTAGGTATAAGAGATGTTGTATCTAATAGAGTACAGGTTGCAGCAAATATATTACCATTAATTAGATTTCCAACAATGACATTAAGTGATTTTGCTGAAAATGTTGCTTATTCAGGTTATTTATCATTAGAAATGGTAGGTTATCATTATTTTTTGTGTAATATATTTCAATTCTGTTGTATTTAATGCCCCCAAATGTCCTGGTACGGCCGAGAGAGGGGAGAGTCCACTCTCTCTCTCTCTCTCTCTCTCTCTAGATATGCTCTCACATGGCCACGCGTATATAACCTCTATCAGGGAAGTCCAACTCACTGCCTTATCAAAGCGGGGTATTGTTCACGAAAGTGAGAGAACGGAAAGCAAATGTCTGGCGCTGTAACCGGGTTGGTGGACACGGAACGTACACCTGGGGGAGTTGGAAAACCCTGATTTCAAACCAATGGTGCACATGGGCTGGCCCCAGTATCCTGAAGGAACAAATGGCATATGAACCAATTGTTGGTCACCGGCTACCATGGGACTGCATCCCCTCACGATGCTCCATTGCCTTGTGGATCAGACCTTTAGGTCAAAGGCTCCGGGTGTAAGCTTCCAAGAAAACCACCTGCTTCAGTCTGGGCACCTGGGCAGTATCACAGCCCTCACACAAATCGAATGAGATTTGTGAGGCGCATACTTATCTGGTGCTTCCTTGTACCAATATGTATGTGTTTAATTAAAATAAATAAAATTGTATTTAATTCCACTATAAAATGCGTTCAATGCAGATAGTCGGAAACGCGAATTCGGTTCTCTAAGGTATATGACTTTGAGTTTGCGCTGGAATAAACTACCCGTAGACTAAAGGCAATTTGAGTAGTTTTTTAAGGGACCTTGATATCAAAATTCGGTCTTCAAGATAGTGGAGCAGTTAAAAATTTCTTTTCTTGTGGTACCTGGAAATTAGTATAGATACGTTCTCTCTTCACCCTGTATAAATTGTTGGGTGCATATGAATCGCTCGTTTGAAAGTACGCTTTTCATTTCTTAGTAGACTATCCATATCTGACAATCCACCTTCAGCCAAATCAATCTGTTGTTTTCCTCGTACATATGTAAAGGCGAATTTGTTTCACTGAATTACACTCCTTGAATAACATCTTTAAACCCTAATCTTTCACATAATATTTATACTCTTACTACTTCTACCACTATGGGATTTGAATCAACAACTACATCTCTGTGTTATTGTGGTATGGTAACTCGAAGTGATTTACGTACGTACGAAGTTCTACATTGTGACTGACTGACTGAGACGATCATTTAAAAAACCAAAGTACACTGAATAGCAAATTTGTATTTTGTTATAACTTAACTGACTGGGCTAGGCAAAAAGTAGGACCGACAAGTATTCTAGACTGATCGTAACGGTTTCCGTGTGCCATATGGTCAGATCTTTAATAGGCAGGTACAAGATATAACAACAGGCAAGCTATAAATTATAATAGTTTTACTTTGTAACTTCTCATTACTTACCATTTGAAATGTGTTATAGACCTTCATTTCTCTCAGTGAATTCAACGATTGACAATCCAGTCACACTCAAACTTTACTTACGTCTAGTGATTCCTTTTAACTAAACATTCTAAGAATGGTAGTTTACAATGTTCATCTTCTTTTTCGATAGCGAGTCTTTTCAATAACCACAAATGAATCATCTAAATATCTAAGCCACATGTGTGGTCTGATGGCAATGACATTATTTTATTTTAAACACATAATTATTGGTACAAGGAAGCATCTAACACATATGCGCCGCACAAATATCATTCGATTGGTGTGTGGCAATGACAAAAGTGAGCAATTCGATATGAGACATAAATAAATTAGCGAAAATCAGAGATGTTGGTGATCTCATAGCTACTACATTCGTTTGTTTATACTGAGTTTTTTTTGAAAGTGAATAATTTTAATGGTTGAGTCAATTGAAGCTAGACCACCATGAAATAACTGGATGGCCGTTTCGCCCTGTTGTGTTATTCCTCAGCAGTGCGCATCCACAATCCCGCCTCGCAAGACTCGAATCCAGAACGTATCAGTCTCTCGCGCGAACGCTTAACCTTTAGATCACTGAGCCGGACGGCATCCAACGGTGTTAATGTATAACTTCAACTAATCCACGAAATAGAGCGATACACCCATAATTGTTTTCAATGAGTTACTATCTCAAAATAAACCTGGTTGAACTCCACTGGTCACTGCTTCTTACTAGAACTCCAGGAAATACCTCTTGAACCCAGTCACTAGTGAGCATATGTCGATTAATATCAGAAGAGGTTTATTTGTGTGGATATTATAGTAGTTTTAATAGTTGAGATCATGAGTCAATTGAAGCTAGACCACCATGGAAAACGTAGAAACGTTTTAGATCGGGATATCTTTTTACTACAAAAGGTGATTCATGTAACAAAAAAGATGAGATTTCGTTCGCATCTATTTTAGACCATGAATACTCCTAAAGAAGTTTATAATATTTTACATAATATCTGCACACATTATATGACAGATCAAAGCTATTGCGTTGTGAAATAACGATCTGAAAACCACGTCTGTTGTGGGATAACAACTCAATGAAGACAATTGGTGAACAGTTGCTCAAACTTCGTGGATCAGTTGAAGTTAGACACTAACACCGTTGTATGCCAGCTCAGTGGTCTATCGGTCAAGTGCTCTGGCGCGAGATTGGTAGGTCATGGGTTCGAATCTCGCTCGCGAGGCGGGATCGTGGATGCGAACTGCTGAGGAGCCCCATAATAGGACGAAACGGTCGTCCAGTGCTTCGAGGTTTTCCATGGTGCTCTAGCTTCAATTGACTCACGCTTTCAACTATGAAAAATACTAAAATCTCCACAAAACCCCTTCTGAATACATATAATGCTTGACTATTTCAAGAAATGTTTACAACATAATAGTATCCAACACTAATTGAAAGTTTACTTTGAGCAGACGAGAAAATTAGCGAATTCCTACTACATAGAATCTGGATCAGTAGAATTAAGGGTTTTGTGTAACTTCCTTACAATTCATCGAAGCCCGTCGATCTACTTCGGGTGACAGTGAGTTTGACCACAAACAAAAGCTGTTACGTAATGAAATCGGGCAAAGGTTGCATGTCACCATCTTGAAACATCGATTTCAGTGACTTGGTCATATTCTACAAATGTCATTCCAGAGAATTCCACGTCGTGCATTATTTTCCGATGATGGGACTGGTTGGAAAAAGCGGAGAGGTACTCAGTGTATGATATCATATCGTGATATAAAAGAAAGCTGCAAAGAACTGGCTTCTGTCGGTCCTGCATGACTCCCTGGTTGGGGTCCAAGAGACGGTGCAACACAGTGGCTCGAGACGTTATCAGATATGGCTCAGAATATAAGCCAATGGCCATCCTGCTGTAACCTTCTTTTACTTTCTTCATAAAGAGTGGTAATAACTACCTAAACTGAAAGTCAGTCAGTTAGTCAGCTACAACGTAGGACCAGGCACATATATGCATCGGTCCAAGTTGCCATACCTCGTTAGCACAACAAGAGGAACACCGGATTCATAGTAGTTAATCTAGTGTTGGTAGTAGTATATAAATTATAGGTTGTATATAAGGATATAGTACAGGAAGGAAGAGAGATATGAAGCAATTTTAGTCTCAAGGTTTAAGGGAAGATTGTATACACCTACGCCATTGTGATAGATTCTGAGCCATGTCACCTAGAGTCTCCAACCATTGGTTACGATAATCATGCGGACCCCAACCAGGTAGTCTGCATCTGCCAACATGGCCCAGGCTAGAAGTTAGTGACTTCAAACACTGATGCCATGTTTTGGTTTGGCCGCCCCTAACTCTCTTCCAACCGTCCCCAATACTAGTCATCATAGAGCGTCGTGGTAATCGGTGTTCAGGCATACGTAACACATGGCCCAACCATCTCAGTCGATGAAGATTCATCACCTCATCAACTGATTTACTATCGTTCCCTAATACCCTACGTCTAACCTCACTATTACTTACCCGGTTATCCCAGCAGATGCCAGCAATATTTCTAAGGCATCTGTGGTCAAATACTAGTAACCTACGAGTATCTTCTACTCTTAATGGCCATGTTTCACAGCCGTAAAGTAGAACAGAGCGAACTGCTGCGCAGTATACTCGTCCCTTAATTGATAGACGGATATCTCGTCTACGCCATAGGTGACGTAAGTTGGCAAAAGCCAAACGAGCTTTTTGAATCCGTGCAGAGATTTCGTCAGACACCAACCCATTAGAGCTGATCAGACTTCCAAGATAAGTGAAGTTGTCGACGCGTTCGACTACTTCACTCCCTATCCTTAGTTCGAGTGTTGACGCAGGCCAGTCCTGGAGTAACAATTTACATTTGGATGGGGAGAAACGCATCCCAAACATCCTGGCATTATTACTCAGTTCCAACAGAAGACTCTGCATTTTGCCAGCGTCTTCACCAAACAGGACTATGTCATCTGCGTATTCTAAGTCGCTTAGTGGTCCCCCTGGTAGGAGATCAATTCCTGAAAATTCAGTCGACGAGAGTGTTATTTCCAGCAACAGGTCTATAATGAAGTTAAACAAAAATGGGGATAGTTGACAGCCTTGACGGACACCACTTGAGGTTGTAAAATCATATGACAGTTCGCCATAAGCTCTCACTCGACTAATAGTGTTCGAGTAAAGAGCCTTCAAAAGGTTTATGTACTTCTCAGGTACACCTTTCAATGACAGACACTGCCACAGAACCTCTCGGTCTACAGAGTCAAATGCTGCTTTCAAGTCAAGAAAAACTATCATTGTCGGACGCCGATAAGCGTGTCTGTGCTCTAAAACTTGACGAATGGTGAATATGTGGTCGATACAGCCACGACCAGGTCTGAAGCCAGCCTGATTTTCTCGTGTTTGCAGTTCACGAGTCTTAGTTAGGCGCCCGATAATTATTGAGGCTAGTATTTTAGATGCTATGTTAGTCAGACTAATCCCTCTATGGTTATCGCAGGATGATTTTGACCCCTTTTATATATTGGGACAATCAGTGATTGTGACCAGTCGGATGGGATTACATCCGTCTCCCAGATTTTAGCCAGAATATTAGTCAACCTAAACTGAAAGAGTTCTTCTTGGTTGCACACTTCAATTTCCCCCATGATTACTCTTATTATTTTTGTTTTTTATATGCATCTTACTCGTTTTCTCTTCCTATTCGCATTGTTTTGTGTGGCGCATATATATCTGATGCCCCCTTGCACCAATATTTATGTGTTTAAATAGATAAAAAAAAGTAATTTTTATATCATGCCATTTACATTTCACGATGGCCCTATACACTACATCTAATGACTGCTAAACATGTTAAATGATAAGGTCTCTCTTTGGAAAGCTTCTTATAAGATGATATTGCTTTCTCAATCTTGCACATAAGAACTGACAGTTCCTATATTGGCCCTAATTACTTTGTACCACAAAGACTTCACTTACACTATTCAGTTTAGAAAGTTAGTTCTTAGCCAAATTAAACATGATGATTGAGTGCTAATCTTATTTATTCCAGTTTTCCATTACTGGAATTACAACTTACTTACTTACTCCTGTTACCCCTCGTGGAGGAGTATAGGCCGCCCACCAGCATTCTCCACCCAACTCTGTCCTGAGCAATCCTTTCCAGTTGTTATTCATCCATTTCATATCTGTTTCTATCCCCTGACGTGATGTAAACATAAACTACTTGATACTTTAAATGATCTATTTCTCGATCTTAATGATAAGTGTTCATTAAATTTCCAAAGCATTTTGAATGCTTAGTTACGCCTGTTAGACCTCCCACATAGAAGAGCATAGGCTGCTAACCAGCATTCTCCATCCAACTCTGTCCTGGGCAATCCTTTCCAGTTCTTTCCAGTTGTTATTGATCCTTTTCATATCTGCTTCTATTTCCCGACGTAATGTGTTTTTTGGCCTTCATCTTTTCCGCTTCCATTCAGGATTCCAAGTTAGCGCTTGCCTCGTGATGCAGTTTGGTGATTCCCTTATTATATGCCTTTTTCACTTCCAACGTTTTTTCCTAATTCCCTCTTCAATTGGAAGTTGATTTGTCCTCTCCCATAAAACGCTGTTGCTGATAGTATCCGGTCAGTGAATGTTGAGTATTTTGCGAAGGCGGAACAGTTTAAATAGTTTGAATTATTTTTCTGGTTAGCGTTTTTCTAGCGAGTTCGTTTTTCTACGGGATGGGGTCGCTAACCCTCCTCCTTTACCCGGGCTTGAAACCGGCAGTAACTCTAGAAGAGCTAAAGGCGGAGTTTGGTATTACAAGATATGAATATAAATAAAGATTTTGAAACTCTTTCTACTTTAAACACATCAACCAGTCAACCTAATTTCCATGATAAATAGAATTTAAACTTTGTTACCAATTCGGATTCGTGGCCTTAGTCAATGAAACAATATAAACGTAATCTTCAACAATCTGTTACAATTTATACTAGTATTGAAATTACTGTGGGAGACGACAAACTAGATTTCAGAGGAGGAAGAAATCAGGAAGAAGCTCTGGAAGTGGATAGTACACACATAGGGGAAGTCACTCAAATGCGTCACAAGACAAGCCTTTAGTTGGAATCCTCATGCCAAAGGAGAAGAGGAAGACTAAAGAGCACATTACGCCGAGAAATAGAGACAGACATGAGAAGAATGGACAAAAACTGGATAGAACTAGAAAAGAAGGCCCAGGACACAGTGGGTTGGGGAATGCTGGTCGGCGGCCTATGCTCCTTTGGGAGTAACAGAAGTAAGTAAGTAAGTGATTGAAATTTGTCCATGTTCCGGTTCTTTAGTTACTTACTTATTTACACCTATTACTCCCAACAGTCTCCAACCCAGTCTGTCCAGGACCTTCCTTTCTAGTTCTATTCAACTGTTATTCACTCTTCTCATGTCTGTCTCCATTTCTCGGTGCAACGTAATCTTTGATCTTCCTCTTCTGCTTTGGTCTTGAGAATTCCAAGTGAAGGCTTGCCTTGTGATGCAGTTAGGTGCTTTCCTCAATGTATGTCCTATCCACTTACATCACTTCTTCCTGATTTCTTCCTCCACTAGAATCTAGTTTATTCTCTCCCACAGTAGCTTAGTGGTGATAGTGGCTATCCAATGCAACCAAAGTATTTTGCCTAGTCAATAGTTCTTTGTAATGACGAACTGTTTTCTCACGTTTATCTTATCATTTCATACCTAATTACCTAGGTACGGGATTTGTTCGTATACATTACAACTAATAAATTGAATGCTCAAAAGAAAGATATCAGGTCACCAACACGTCGTTCCAATTCATTAGCAATTAAAAAAAATGATCATTCTAATGAATTCACAGACAATGATACAACAACATTATCAAATCCATCACCTATATCTAATTCAATCTATTTAACAAATCAATCATCATTACCAGATTCTGGACCATTTCCACGTGAACCAAGAATAGGACCTAAACTATGGAGATGTTGTCGATTTAAAAGGATTCGTAAAGATTTATTATCATTAACTGCTTCTAATAATCATCGGCATACAATTAGTTTTTCGGTAAGTTTTCATTCTTTCTTAGTTATATCTAAGCGTGACAGTAATTTATATCCTCCCTTTCAACTGGATAGCAATCCATTAACCTTTTAATGGCTTGAATGAAGTCATTACCTGATTATCAGATGTATTTCACGTGACAGATTAATGAGTAAACTAAAAAGAAGATGATAATGTAGTGTTGTGGTCTACTTATATCCATATAAGTAGTATATGCGGATGGGCAGATATAGAAAGTATTTTGGCAGAAGATCGATAAGAAAATAACAGGAATAAAGCGCAATCGGTATGAAAATCCATGAAAAATGTAATCAGAGACGACGGACTGATATTTGTAGAAGGAACAGTTAAAATTGATAAAATTGATTGTTATTTTGCAAATTAACTGTTTACTGTATAGTAAGCAACGATGGATAGCGGCTAGCAGTAGAATCCACGATGAGCGTTTCGTCTTATTTGGGACTCGTCAGCCAGATGTACCTGCATCTCAGAGTTGATGTGTCTCTCTAGGACTCGAACCCAGTACCTTTCGATTCAAACGCCGTCGCGTTATCCACTAGGCCATTGAGTCCTGAAACGAAACGTGCGTCCTGGATTCCACTGTTAGCCACTATCCATCTTTGCTTACTATGCTTGTGAATTTAGGCTATATCGAGGCAATACGCACAGTATGCACATATGCCAAAGAGACACTGACCAGTTGCAGTCCTAAAAACATCAATGGGAAGATTCAAACAAAACAATACTAAGTGAATGTTTACTGTATGATTATCAGAATTTAGTGAGATGGTCTATAAGTTGTGCTTAAAAACATCCGATTGTCCCCAGTCGTGTTCTTGTTCACTACAGTGTAAGCTACTGATGTAGACAGATATAAGTAGTATACATCATCAATCGAAAGTGAAATGTATGACGACAGATGGTTAAGAAGATCGATGGAAAGAGATTGAGAATAGAGAATGATTGCTGTAGAAATGAAAGAACAGTGAAGTCTGAAACAATTGATTGACAGTTTGCAAATGAAGTACTTACTATATGATTCTCAGATTTTAGGAAGTTCTGTAATGTGTATAATCGAATACATTTGATTGTATCCATTTGTGTTCTCGTTCGTTACAATCGGAATGAAAGTCTGATGTTAGACAATACTATTAGTTGAACAGTTTACAGATTATTCAAAGAAACTTCTTACAAAACTCACAACATCATTAGGTATCAAATTCAAACACGTGAATTATCAGGATGTATAGGTTATCATTAATTCAGTAAGTTTCACATGAATGAATAACATTACGAACTTCAATTGATTCATAATGTAATTGTACAATCATTTAGTGACATTATTAAACAATGATCTCTTTTATTGGCATGAGTGAACTTATCCATTCATCATAGAATTTGAACATTTTCAAATTGTGCATTGACTAGAAGCTAAACCATGAAAGTTAAAATCAATACCATAAACTTTATTTAAACAATAGAATGTCAGACGATGAGTTCGTCATTTAACTCTGTCAGAATATTTAACGACATGAAATTGACAATAGTATAAAAGAAGGTGCAAAAACCACAGCTCATCGTTTTTTATATGAAACTGGATGGAGGACAAATTACTGACTCCCTCGAAGTAAAGACCGGTGTCAGGCAAGGTTGCTTACTCTCACCCTTAATCATTCTCCTGGTGATCGACTGCATTAGGAAGACATTAACATCTGGAGGGGAGCACGGGATACACTGGACAGACAGGATTCAGCTTGACGATTTAGATTTCGCAGATGATCTAACTCTTCTATCACAAACGCAACAAGAAATGCAAGAGAAAACGACCAGCGTAGCAGCAGCCTTAGCAGCAGTAGGTCTCAATATAAACAAAGGGAAAAGCAAGACTCTTCGATATAATACAACATGCACCAATCGAATTACATTTGACGGAGAAGGTTTGGAGGATGTGAAAACCTTTACATATCTAGGGAGTATCATTGATGAACACGGTGGATCAGATGCAGATGTGAGGGCGCGGATAGGTAAAGCAAGAGCAGCGTATTCACAAATAAAGAACATCTGGAACTCAAAACGATTGTCAACCAACATCAAAGTCGGAATTTTCAATACAAATGTCAACACAGTTCTGCTGTATGGAGCAGAAACCTGGAGAACAACGAAGCTATCATCCAGAAGATACATGTTTTTATTAACAGTTCTCTACACGAAATACTTCGGATCCGATGGCCAGACACTATCAGAAACAACCTACTGTGAAGGAAAATAAACCAGACTCCAGTGGAGGAACAAATCAGGAAGAAGTGCTGAAAGTGTATAGGACACACGTTGAGGAAAGCACTCAACTGCATCATAACGCAAGCCCTCATTTGATTGAGATCAGGAATCGAATGATGTTAGACCATAACTGAACACCTAGAAGGACTGAATAGACGTTTCATCCTAGTATGGTACTTCTCATAGGTGCGCATCCACAATAGCGCTCGCGGGACCTGAACCCAGGACTTTTGGTCTCGTATGCGAACGCTTAACCTCTAGAACACTGAACCGGCATCCAATGGTGTTAATGTCTAATTTCAACCAATCCCTGGAATTGCACGACCATCTTCCATAATGGGACTTAACGGCCGTTTCTAGGTTCTCAATCTTATCATTATGTTGAGTAATCGAGTTGTATCAAATATTTGTCACAATATATGCTCATTCTTATATTCAGTCAGTCAGCTACAACATAGGACCAGACATATATATCCATAGGTCCAAGTTGACACACCTCACTAGCACAACAACATAAACACCGAATTCATAGAAGTAGCAATCTTCTTTCACCCAGAGAGCTGATTTACATTATCAACAAGCATTGTTTCATCTAGTCAGTTTGGCCCATATATATACACCAATATCTCGTTCATGAAATAAATTGAGTTATATAGGTTCATTCTAATTGACTCAAAGAAATTAGATGATCAGATCATTTTCAGAGCTGATTCTTTAAGAAGACTTTAGCATATTTTTTTAAATTGATCTGATATCCCAGGTAGTCTTGTAAAAATAACCTAAATGGTTTCATACACATCGTAGATATTCAAGATGTTTAATTCTATAACCGAAAAGTTTCAGCATAACTGAACTTATCAGTGGCCTTTCAGGTTTTGCATGACTTTATAATTGATATTAATCTAATCCACAAGACAGTGGAACAAGGTAAGGAGATGCAATCCCATGATGGCCCGTGACCACTAATAGGTTCATACACCATCTGTTTCTTCAAGATGCTGGAGCTAGCCCACGTACACCACTGGTTTGGAATCAGGGTTTTCCAACTTCCCTAGGTGGATCCTCTATATCCACCTACCCGGTTAAAGCGCTGAACCTTCGCTTTTGGTCCTCTCAACTTCGTAAACAACACTCCTGGTGTGAGAAGACAATGAGTAGCACTTGACTGACAGTAACTGCATACGCGTGGCTGTGTGAGAGGGAGAGCTGACTCTCCCCACCCTCGGCTGTACCAGAGCAATTGGGAGCATAAAATAAACTCTGGCGCAGATCAGTATCAAATTTAGTTGTCCGATCGCGACTAAAATCCTCCATACTATGCAATGGCATTTTATCTTTCAGAGCAGATAGAGTGATACTATTTCAAATGGTAGATTATCCATGAACATATGCTAATTATTTCTCTTCCAACATTTTCTACATTCCAGGTATCTGCATCTATATTTATTGCTGGTGTTGGAATTTATGGTTCAACACAAGTTGGTGATATTCGTACAGTTCATGTTGAATTGAAAACAGGCAATGGAAGTGCACCTCCACCATCATCATCAGCTAATGTACCATCAAGTGGAAATCCCTTATCAGATCGAATGTATCTTTCACAAGCATCAAGAAGTACAAGTGATCTAACTAATTTAAATACATCTACACGTTTACTTCATAATCATAATAATCGTGGAGGATATTTAAATATTTGGGATATTACAGGATTATCAAGATTAGATGAAGGTGATTCACCTAGTACTCCAATCAATTCTTCAAATCATTTAAATAAAAAATCATCAACAAAATGTCTTGCCAGTAAACAAATTTCATTAAGATCTGATGGAACTAATCGTGTCTATGATATAAGATTTGGATGTCCAGTAAAGGTATGTAATATTCATCAGAATGACATAGTAATCATGACTAAATGTATCATTTTGGATGGATATGATACTGCTCGGGTGCCCAGACCGAAGCTGGTGGTTTTCTCACAGGGCCACACCCCGAGTCTTTGATTTAAATGTCTGATCCACAAGGTAGTGGAGCATCTCGTGAGGAGATGCACTCCCATGCTAGCCGGTGACCAACGATTGGTTCATACGCCATTTGTTCCTTCAGGATACTGGAGTGTGCCATGTGCACCATTAGTTTAGAATCAGGGTTTTCTGACTCCCTTAGGTGAACTTTCCGTGTCCACCATACCCGTTAAAGCGCCTGACATTCGCTTTTCGTCTTCTCAATTTCGTAAACAACACTCCCGCCACGAGAAGGCAATGAGTAGGACTTCCCCAACAGAGGCTATATACGCGTGGTCGTGTAAGAGCATTTTGAGAGGGAGGGTGGACTCTCCACACTCTCAGCCGTAACAGGGCATTTGAAGGCTAAGTAAATTTATGCTAAATGAATGCTCATTGACAATTGTAGAGAGATGTCATAGTAATCAAATTGATCTATTTCATATCATTAAGTCATAAGTTCGAACCCTCCTTCTTGTACATTTGCCCTAGTAACTAGATAGTATGGCTAGTCACTCTATATCCATAAACACGTGGATCAAAACTACAGAATATAAACTACTTAACGCGTAAGATGAGATATAGAGCTTTAAAAATGTCAGCCACCAACTAAAATGGTATTTATTGGTATTCGAGTATTGATTCAACTTCCTTTTTACAATCCAGTAAAGTGATCGAGATTAATCAACCTCTCAATTTTGCAAACAAAAACCCCGCCACGATAAGGCAGTGAGTAGGACTTCCCTGGCACTGAATACTCTATAAACTTGAACTGACTGACGAATGAATTATTATTAATATCATATTTCTCTAGTTATTGATGTGTGGCTCATTGGATTATATCGATGAATTCAGTATGTAATAATTAGGGTGAAATGACTTGACAACACTGGACGCTGTGTTTTTATGTAAGTTGATAGCAATCGGGCAGTAGTTACGTTGTCAGTTAAGAAATTAATAGTCCAGACTGATAATAAATATAGTAAAACGACCAATAAATGCATGACTCTAACAATTGAAACATTGACATGGAAACACTTTTGAACTTGTCAAATTTATAATTGTCACTATGGAGGTAAACTCGTATTTCACGGGGACCTCAGTATAATAGTTTAGAGTTTAAGCTTACACGCGTAAGATTGAAGGTTTTAGATTACATTCTCGGTTATAGTGTTGTGAATGCTCATCGCTAAGGCGTTTAATACTAGAATGGAACGACCACCCAAAACTACCCGGTTGTAAATAGATGTGTAATTTAGATCAATTCGAGATTTCAATGAAATGTAAATTCATCGTTGAAATCAAGAGTCAATTGAAACTAGACCACTATAGAAAACATGAAAGCACTGGATGGCCGTTTCCTCACATTATGGGACTCCTCAGTGGCAGTGCGCATCCATGACCCCGCACTCGCGAGCGAGATTCGAACCAACCCCTACCAGTCTCGCGCCAGAGCACTTAACCGATAGACCACTGAGCAGGCCGGTATCCAACGGTGTTAATATCTAACTTCAACTGATGCACGAAGTTGAGCAACCGTTCATCAGTGAGTTCATATCTCACAACAGACGTGGTTTGAACTCCACTGGTCGCTGTTTCTCACTAAAAATCAACGGATTTACATCTCGAAGTCAGTCACTAGTGAGCATATGATTATTATTATTATTATCAGAAGGGGTTTTGTAGAGATTTAGTATTTTCATAGTTCAGGAACTTCTAATAGTCACGAACCATTGCACGTTTGTTTATTTTAAGTGAACGATTCCTAAGCGATACACATACGTGAGCTCAAATAGGGATACAATTTAAGACATTCGAATTTTATGGATTCAGCGTGAAGTATAGCTAACAGCTAATCACATAACGGATATCTATTTAATTTAATTAGATAATTTTGTTAACTCATTTAACTTCTTGCCTATTGTGGTGACGTCCAATGTGACAGCTTGTATAGACGCATACTTGTTTCATACCTTACATTGTCTATGATTAACTGAATAAAACGTAATATAAGGGGGTTTTACGTGGAGATTTTTAGTAATTTTTTATATATAGTTGAAATGAGGAGTTTCACAATCGGATGAAATGGCCATTCAGTGCTTCCAGATTTACCACTATGGTCTAGCTTTAATTAACTCATGATTTCAACTATATGTATAATAATATAGTCACTGCTTCCCATTACAACTCAAGGAAACATCCCTTGAAGTTAGTCACTAAAGAGCATATGATTATAGATCAGAATGAGTTTTGTGGATGCATACTGCTGAGGAGTCCAATAATCGAACAAAACGACCGTCCAGTGCTTCCAGGTTTATGATGGTGGTCTAGATTCAATTGACTTATGATTTCAACTATGGAAATGTAAATTCATTAACAAAAAATTGATAAAATGTTCTTTTCATAATAACTTCAAATTAATTTACAGTTGGTTAAAAATCGAAGATACTATTTAAGTTTGAGCACATCAAATTCTGATCATAATCCAGCATCAATGTCTACATCTTCAACAGCAATTAATTCATCAACATCATATATTGGTTTCTATGGTGGAACAGAAATTCTAATTCATTGTCCATCAGAAGAAACATTAAATAAACAAGATAGCGAAACAATAACAAACAACAACAACAACAACAACAAGAAATCCTCCTCATCAACATTATCTAACATTAGAAACAAAAAACGATCAGTAACAAATAAATTAGATTTTGTAACCAATTACAATGATAACTCACATTTATTAGGTAATAGTAATGAAACAGTTATATTCAATTTTCATGATAGTTGGGATGGTCTAGAAAATGGGAGTGTTGATAGAGGATTAATACCGGATTTATTATTTTATACTTGTTTTTAAAACTATTTTCATTATCATCATCATTCATGTACACATTACTCTTTATGGTTCCTTTCATATTTGTTATATGCATATATGGGCAACATAGTTACAAAATGATGTTTACAAAGACAAAGTCTACATATACATTACTTTCATCATCATTCCCTTATCCATTCATTACTATATTATCATCCATATTCATATATTATACAATAAAACTATTGGTCAATATGATTTGACTTTTTTAAAATTTTCGACATCCAGTGAAAACTACTTAAATGATTAGTTAGTAATATGATTTTTTAATAAAAAATAATTTTATGGAGTTCAGATCACGAGTCAATTGAAGATGGACCACCATGGAAAACCTGGAAGCACTGAACGGCTGTTTCGTCCTATTATGAGAACATTTTTAGATATTATAAAAAAAAGGATATTGATATTTTAGTTATTTTATATCATTAAATATTATGCGTTGACAACTTCAATTATCTTAGAAGTCTAATCAACCCTAAAGGGTTGGTGTCTGATGAAATCTCTACATGGATTCAAAAAGCTCATTTAGCCTTTGTCAACTTATTGCACCTATATTGAAGGTGAGATATTCGTTTATCAATAAAAGGACGAGTATACTACGCATCAGTTCGTTTTGTTCTATATTATAGCTATGAAAATACGCCATTAAGATTAGAAGATACTCGTAAGTTATTATTATTTGATCACAGATCTCTCGGAAATATCGCTCACATCTACTGGGATCACTGGATAAATAATAATAATAAGGTTAGACGCAGGATATTAGGGGTTTATAGTAAATCAGTTGACGAGGTCGTGATTCTTCATCGACTGAGATGGTTGGACAATATGTTACTGTTATGACTTTATAGAAAATAGGACCATATCCAATTCGTTATGATTTGATGTCCGGCTATTTATCACGTGAATTATACACCAATCGAAATACGATTTGTTTAATCGCAATAATGTGCCACTCAATGACGTTCGACCAGTATGAATACTCTAGCATCCTTATTGTTTCCTTGTCCGCCTAGCCCTTCCCATTGAGTCCAAAAACATCAATTGCAGCTTTTGCTATGCGAATCATTTATTTCAAGCATACCTGGTTTATATACCAGACAGACAGACTGACCGCATTATACCATAAAATAGAAAATAATATTTGTACAAGATCAAGCCAAATGTGGCTGTGAATCTGGGAGACAATAATCAATAAATTGAATATAATTCAGGGACAGTCATTCGTATAATAATAATAATCCATAGATCAAAATGAAACTTATAATAAGATAAATATAGATATCACATAATCTAATCACTCAATAGTTAAACAGTAAGAATATATATATATAAAATAATAGTACATTAATAAGACCCGGAAGTTACCTGTACTTATGTCCTCACTAGGATATAACGGTTACTTATGCCTGAACACTGATTACCACGACATGAAATGCTGACAAGTGTTGTGGATGGTTGGATGAAAGTCATGAACGTCCAAACCAAAATGTGCCGTCAGCCCTTGAAGTTACTAACTTCTAGTCCGAGTTATGTTGGTAGGAAAGTTGGATTTATTCGCTATTTTCATCCAAATAATTTAACAATATTCCTGATCAGAAGGGTGTTTTGTGGAGATATTAGTAATTTTATATAGTTGAGATCATGAGTTAATTGAAGCTAGATCACCATCGAAAACCTGGAAGCACTATTGTGGGACTCCTCAGCAGTGCACATTCACGATCCCGCCTCGCGAGATTCGAACCCAGGACCTACAAGTCTCGCAACAGAGCACTTAACCTGATGTTGAAATTTCCAATTCTATTGAATATTTATTCCTCTTCTATAGTATTCATCTTATTATAAGTTTCGCTCCTATCGTGTTGAAGTAAAGTAAGCCAACTTGGATTCGTACACATTCCCTTTATGTCCCAATATAGCAAAGCGACATTTTAATCAGGACGATAAGATCCTAATTGTTTGATCATTGAGTGGTGATCAATGTCATGTGTGTCAAGTCCTTCTTAGTGCTGATCGAAGGCTATCGATTAAGTTGCAATGTAGCCACTAGTTTAGGTGGCTCGATACTGCGTGCACTATGTTGAGATAAGATGGTGGTTGGAGGTGGTCAACAGGAAACCCTGGACATGGGTTTTGTGCTACTTGACACTCGTCAGCAAGGTGTACCTGTAATCTTGAGGGAACTGGTGCTCCCTGACGGGTTCGATCCCGTGTCACTCAGCTTCACAGTCAGGGACGTTACCACTGAGCTATTCGGGCCGCGACAGACCTCTTGTAGGACTGAGATGTAATCATAATTGATTGATCACTGGGTGGTGATCAATGTCATGTGTGTCAAGTCCTTCTTAGTGCTGATCGAATGTTATCGATCGATAAGATCCACACAAATAGAGAAACATCGGTAAGGCAAATATTCATACTCATGATGATTATCATTTTGAAGATTAATGTACATCCACATACTACACACAGGCTCAATCGTAAACGGTTACTATTATCAAAAGCGTAACAATCAAATGGTCATATGCTACTTATTTAATTAAGTGATAAGCATGTACAGTTTTTTTTTCAATATGAGACCATTGATATATATATTCGTAATGAATAGTAGTAGAACCTAAATGATGTACCTTCGAACAGAGAAAAATTAACATCCTCATAATCTGAACATTGCTTACAACGTACTATTTACAATAGAACCTTCAGATTATATAACGAGCGTAATACATTAAAGACTATTGAATTGCTATCTCATGATGAAGCTCTAGTAAGGACTCATGACCGATGAAGTTCACAACTGATGAATGTGAGAAATATCATCCATGACTATTTTATTGCATCGTGACATATGGGTATGATGTCGAAGTATTGTGTGTACTACAAAGCCTGAAGATATTCAATTCAATTCCACATCAAGTTAATAGTGTAGTCTCTTGAAATTTTAATTCAAAACACATAAGGTCCACCGGGGTGTTTGTTACCTGAGTGGTTGCGCCACAGGATTGAGCTGTAATGTTCAGATTGTAGTGTTGAAACCCATATAGTGTCTGGTTCTCTTATAAAGCGGGATTGAGCTGTTGATGTGAACCGCAAAACAAGAAGCCTTAACAAATTACGGAAGCTATTTTTGGGGACGTTAATTCATTTAATTCAAAGCTTGTAAAACTGTAACATTTACTTTTGTCCCTATCCTATTCTACAGATCATAAGCTTTCGTTTGATGTATAATTCATTGCCATAGCATTTTTTGTTCTAAAGCTATTGTCATTTAGACGTAATCTTTTGTAACCTATTTTCTACTATAATCCCCCAGTTTTGGACATAATTGTATTTTATAGAGTTGAGATCGTGAGTCAATTGAAGCTAGACGACGAAGCTTGACTCACGATCTCAACTCTATAAAATTACTAAAATCTCCACAAAACCCCTTCTGATAATTGTATTTTTCTAATTATTGTACGTTGTGGTCAGCTTAGTCATCTATTTATTCATGTAACTTTTCACCCTAATCTGAATTGGGAATTCGAGTGCTAGATCGGGGTTGGAATAAAGTGATTAGTGTTCCAGCTGTCTCTATCTTCTCTCTCTCTCTCTCTCGCGTGCTTGCCGACCAATCAGGGATAGAATAGTTTTCGTCTCTCTACCCCCACTTCGAACTCACGCATATTAGCCTCAAGGTTAAGCCAGTCAGCCTATCGGGTCAAGGTCTTAATCTACATTACACAAGTTATATTCGGCACTAAAGTGGGTAGACAGATTCAAGGACGTAACAGCTGTACTGCTTGGGTTAAGCCTGGGCAGTGTCTGACTCTCCTGTTAAACGCGATTGAGCTGTACTGTTTGGGTTGCCGCGTGAAAGTCTGGATGACGTCTGGTTCACCTGAAAACCAGTGCAAGATTACCCTGGCCCATAAGGGTATATTATATAACTGTGAACTAACAAAACATAATAGTTATTAATATCTATATGGTTTTTAACTGTCCTCTCTAGGAGAAGATAATTCATTATATAAATGTCTTTCAAAGATCTTTAAGCCTACTGAATATAGTAATACGTACAGATTTGAATAAGTAAAATTCCAAGTGTGCAGGCGGTTAGTACTATTCAGTTACCAATATTATGGAAGGGAAATGAAAATGAAACTAGGTTCATGTTATGTCCCAATAACAATAGTGAATGGTAACTTTGGGATCCATTTATGGACCAATATTGTGCATATATCTTTTATCGTATAATCATTAAATAACTAAATTATTCACATTCGCGTCCCCCCCCCCTTATTATAAGCTTTATTTTGAACCATAGACTATGATTGTCGATTTACCATTCTTCAGTTATCCCTAGTCTATTAATTACTGTTCTCACATAATCACAGCCACAATTGACCAAATCTTGTACAAATGTTATTTTCCATTTTATTGGTACGATGTAGTCAGTCTATTTGGTATATAAACTCAGTATGTTTGAAATATAATGATTCATATCGCAGAGTCTGTTCTGAACTTAACTGACTAGGCTAGGAAGAAGTAGGATTGACAAGTACTCTACACTTTCCATACGGTTTCCGTGTATTATTGGTCCGATCAATAATTCGCTGCTCTCTAATTGGACGGTCTTATCACATCACACATTTAACAAGGGCATCCACTCGAATAGTTTCGACAAACTAAAGACGTTACCGTATAATTGAAATGAGAACCGTTTCAAATTGACAATAGGACCACGAGTTCAACGCTTTGGGTCTTATTACTTTTCAACTAACCTGAATAGGATAATAGTAGCACTAGGAACAACAAATGTCCCAGTCAATAAAACTTGATCGGGTGTTCAACAAATACATCAAAGTAAACACAACCATCGTCAAAACATTAATATTTAAATAATCTACTCATGAAAATTATAAAGTTAAGCTGTAAAAAAGACAAATAAAAACTAATAAAAAAAGAAGAAAAAGCTACAACAAAACAACCAACCAATCAAATTAGAAGAAGAAGTTTCAACATCTTTCTTCTTTTTTTTTCCTTTCTTCATTCAACTACTACTGAAATAGATTGTTTTAATTTATGAATTTATAATGAATAACACCGGCATATCCATGTATATCTATCAAATAAATGCAAATGTATATTGATATGCAATACAGTCAGTCAATCAGTCACAACGTAGAACTTCGTACGTACGTACGTACGTACATCAGCTTGAGTTGCCATACCACATTACTGTATGCAATACAGTATATATGAAATAGATCCCTTACATAGATATATAAATAAATGAAGTCAATGATAGATAGATGAATATGTTACCATGTAGTAAACCATCCATTAGAATTACCCAATTAATGAACGAATAATTTGACGTAATTCATTATAACGTCTATTAGTTGGTGGAATGTAATCCAGCTATTAACAGACAAATAAGAATAGATAATAAAGAAATAAATAAGATTATATTAATTAAATATCATTTATAGTTGAAAGCGTGAGTCAATTGAAGCTAGACCAACATGGAAAACTTGGAAGCACTGGATGGCTGTTTCGTCCTACTATGGGACTCCTCAGTGGCAGTGTACATCCACGATCCCGCACTCGCGAGCGAGTTTCGAACCCAGGACCTACAAGTCTAGCGCCAGAGCACTTAACCGATACACCACTAAGCTGGCTGGAATCCGACGGTGTTAATGTCTAACTTCAACTGATCCATGAATTTGAGTAACCGTTCACCAATTGTCTTCAGTGAATTGATATCTCACAACAGACGTGGTTTGAACTCCGCTGATCACTGCTTTTCACTAGAACTCCTGGATTTACCTATCGAAGTCAGTCACTAGTGAGCATATCATTATTATTATCAGAAGTACTTCCAGGTTTTCCATGGTGGTCTAGCTTCAATTGACTCACGCTATCAACTATGAAAATACTAAATCTCCACAAAACCTCTTCTGATAATGAATATGATTTAGATTGATCTGTTCAAGTATGAAAAATAAATTTAATGGATAAATAGGTAATTCAAAAAAAGTTCTGATCTATAAAGCAGTGGAGCAACGTTAACAAATGTACTGCCATGGTAACCAATGATCAACAATACATTCATACATTATTTGTTTCCTTAGGATTCTGGAGCCAGCCCATGTGCATCATTAGTTTGGAATCAATGTTTTCCAACTCTTCAATATCTATCAAACCGGTTAGAGCGCCGGACATTTGCTTTCCGTCCTCTCAATTTTGTAAACAACACCCCTAGTGCAAGAACGCAGCGAGTATCACTTCCCTGACAGTGGCTGTATACGCGTGGTCATGTAAGGGCATTTCGAGAGGGAGAGCGGACTCTTCCCACTCTCGGCCGTACTAGAACATTTGGGGGTGTTTGAAAAATTACCCCAAACAGAGAGAACAGATATCATATAAAATTCCTCTACACATGTTTTGAGCAGTTACGTATTAGTATGTCACTAGTTCTCTATAATAATTAGAACTACCTGAATTCAGTATGTTAACTAACAATACTCAGAACTCACTAACTTGTACTCTATCAGCCACGTACGTATAGACCAGTGAATTCAAATACGACAGGACTCTATGAGTACAATCGAATATATTATATTGAGAACTCAAATCATGAGTAGAATAATGTACAAAATTGATATACATAATGGTTAAAATTAAACGATACGAAAGATAACTACAATATGACAGTCCTGTTAGTAATTGATACATCATTCAATAAATTATAAGTGTTCAGATTAAAGTACTGTAGTGAACAAGAATACGGGTGGGGACAATCGAATGTATTCTAGCACAACATTACAGAATATCTCATTAAAATATGAGAACCATATAGTGAACAGTTAATTTGCAAAATAACAATCAATTATCTCAATCTTAACTGTTTCTTTTGCAAATATCCATCCATAGTCTCTAATGATAATTGTTCATGCATTTTCGTACCAATTGAGTGCCGTTCCCGTTCTCTCCTTATCGATTTTCTATTGAAATGCATTCAATGCCCGACCATCACCATATACTACTTATGTGGATATCAGTAACCCATACCAAAGTACTAATATCTAACTACGTACATTATCAGGAAACGATTACCTACTCTTAAGGAATTAGTATTAAAATGTGTAGAACCAGAACTAATTACTGAATCAATAAATTAGCATTATCTCCTATATAAGTTTAATACGAACACGTGTATTTGAATTCTATGAAAATGATCTAAAATTCAATTTCATTTATTTATTTATTTAAGCACCACATACATATGCGCCACACAAATCTCATTTGATTTGTGTTAGGGCTGTGATACTACCCGGGTGCTCAAACTGATGCAGCTGATTTTTTTAAGGAGCCACACCCGGAGCCTTTGACCTAAAGGTCTCATCCACAAGACAGTGGAGCATCGTGAGGAGATGCAGTCCCATGGAAGCCGGTCACCAACAATTGGTTCATACGCCATTCGTTCCCTTAGGATACTGGAACTCATGGTTAAGAATCAAGGTTTTCTAACTTCCCTAGGAGAACTCGCAGTGTCCACCAACCCAGTTAAAGTGCTCGACATTCGCTTTTCATCCTCTCAATTTCGTTAACAACACCCTTGCCACGAGGAGGTGAGTGGTTTTAGAATATATCTATAGTTCAGCTCATTTTTCTTCTCAATTATACCGAGTAGAATCAAGTGTCAAACAGTTAGTTATACAATATAGTCAAAGAAAAGCATAAAGTTATATTGCCTCATTTCATAATAATAAAAACATCAAAAACATACCTTTAAAGCTTTAATTCGTCGCTGCCTTTCTTGTTCTAAATAAACTGATGCATATGGACCTAAAAGGCGAATAACTTCCGCGGAATTGCGTTGTAACAATGGTATTTCTCTATGCATCATTGCTGTTCTTATATTCCAACGTAGAACACGTCGTGCATTTTCACCGGGTGTAGAATGAATTGACCAACTTCGTTGATATGAATGGTATTTTGCAACTGGATCTTGTTTTTGTCTATGTGTACTAGTTGATACCGGTCTCTATAGATTAGAAATAAAATATAGAAAATCTATAAAAAAAGAAGGTATATGGATGATACTTTTCGACAACGTTTATGATTTGAATCATATTCTACAGGTCTTTAACAATTTTAACACTGTGCTAGAATCTTTGTTAATAGCAAAACTTAACTATTGAACTGACTTGTAAATCTGGTGATTTCAAGTTTATCACATAACCTTACATTTGAATTCGTACTGATCATTCAAATGTTCAACTTAATATCCAGTGAACATTTTATTTATTTCTTTAAACACAAAGGGGCACCAGATACATATGCGCCGCACAAATCTCATTTGATTTGCGTGACGGCTCTGATACTGCCAAGGTGCCCAGACCGAAGCAAGTGGTTTTCTTAGGGGACCACACTCGGAGCCTTTGACCTAAAGGTCTGATCCACAAGGCAGTGGAGCATCGTGAAGAGATGCATTCCCATGGTAGCCGGTGACCAATAATTGGTTAATACGCCATTTGTTCCTTCAGGATCCTAGAGCCCATGTACACCATTGGTTTTTAATGAGGGTTTTCCAACTCCCCTAGATGGATCTTCCATATCTACCAAGCCGGTTAAAGCACCGGACATTTGCTTTTCGTCCTCTCAATTTCGTAAACAACACCCTTTGTGCGAGAAGGCAGTGAGTAGGACTCCCCTAGCAGAGGCTGTATACGCGTGGCCGTGTGAGGGCATTTCGAGAGAGAGGGTGGATCCTCCAGTGAACAGAATCCATGTGAATCGAGAAATTATTAAAAAGAAGACAATTTGAAGTATGAATTAGACTGTACGGTAGCAACTAAGTGATATGCAATTTTTTTCAGGCAATAGTTAATGGTGTCCGATAAAAACTTAAAACTTTATCTCTCATTCAATTGTTAAGGTATAAGAATGCACATTAACCTAGTCTGCAAGATAAGCGAATGTTCAGCGCTTTAACCGGGTTGGTGGGCACGGAAAGTTTACCGAAGGGAGTTGGAAAACACTCATTAAAAACCAATGGTGTACATGGGCTCTAGGATCCTGAAGGAACAAATGGCGTATTAACCAATTATTGGTCACCGGCTACCATGGGAATGCATCTCTTCACGATGCTCCACTGCCTTGTGGACTAGACCTTTAGGTCAAAGGCTCCGGGTGTGGCCGCCTAAGGAAACCACCTGCTTCGGTTTGGGCACCCAGGCAGTATCAGAGCCGTCACGCAAATCAAATGAGATTTGTGCGGCGCATATGTAGCTGATGCTTCCTTGTACCAATATTTATGTGTTTAAATAAATAAACTGCAAGATAATATCACAGCAGAATCGACCAAAATATCAGATAAAATATCATTGGGGGTTGATCAGATACTCGATAATTGAGAGCAGCTAATCTTATGGATAACTTATATTAAAACAAATATCTAACACAGTAAAAGGATGATCATAAGAAAGAATTAGGATACATACTTGGGAATGTAATGATCGAGAATTATAACCACAACAATCATTTCCTTTTTGACAGTGTTGTGCAGATTCAGGTCGTTGTTGTTGTTGTTGTGGTACACTATGAACTTGTTCAACAGGATTATCTAGAAATCGAGCTGATCTTCTTGAGGAATTCGTCGCTGTGGTAATATTCATAGTACATTTTTGGCGTTGATAATCAACATCATTAATTTTATAACACCTTAATGTCTTTTCCAACTTATTATTATTCGATGTTGACAAGTTATTACTACGATAATCGTGTTGATCTCCATTAGTTGTAGTATGTGTATGGACGTTTTCAACAATCCGTTCACATTTTCCATGTAATTTATCTCTACTTTCTTGATCATAATGCAAATGTTGATGAGAATGACGTGGTTGTTGATGTTGGAGATGAAGATATGCAGACGATCTTCCCAACTGATTAGACGAATCTTTAGAAACAGACTTCAGGTGACAGTTGTTTTTATCCGTTGATGACGATGTTATCGTCTTCATTGGTGAATGTATGAATTCATTATTTAGATGGTGTGCGATGTCACGACTTTTTTGAAAGTTTTTCATAGAAGATTTGGAATGAATAGGTTGTCCATTAGCATCATTATATCCAAAATTTACAGATTGTTTACTGCTGGTTAATTCATTCCCAGATTGAACTGTATGTTTTTGCTGTTGACGTTGGTAATGGTGATAGTGATAAAGTTTCTGCTGTTGTTTCTCTTCAAAATGATTTTCAGCTTCATTCTGTAATAGAGTTGTTGATGATAATGACGATGAGATAGATGCGGTGTCAAGATTATTCATTACCTCGTTAGTTGTTGAAAAGCAGACTGTTATTTGTGAATCAGTTGAAGAATATGGTTTCTGATGTAGACAATGATCATGTTTATGATGATATTTAGGGGATAATTGTACGTCATTCAATACAAAACTATCATTAGATAGGTTTTTTTTATCCAAGTTCAGAGAATGGTTATTTGGTATGGATGATTTACACTATAACATAAATAAACAAAAAAGAATAGAAACTAATGAGCAAAATATAAATGTGCATTAATAAGGCCTGTAATTTAGATAATTAATAGATTATACACTTTTGTAAAGATTGCAGTCAGTCAGTCAGCTAAGACGTAGGACAAGACACATATATGCATTGGTCCAAGTTATCATACCGCACCAGCATAACAAGATGAACACCAAAGAAATAGTTACTTCAATGGTAGTAATATTTAAAAAAAAGATTGCATACAAGAATATGAAAGCAGGAGAAAGAATTAGTTGGTAGAAATAAAGCTATAAAGTAATTTTAATCTCATGGTTTCTAAAGGAAGACAAAGAGTGTATACACATACACCCACGGTACTTAACCATTGGTTACGATAGTCAAATGGACCCCAACGAAGTAGTCTGAATCTACCAACATGGCACAGACTAGAAGTTAGTGACTTCAAGCTCTGATGCCATGTTTTGATTTGGTCACCCCTAAATTTTCTCCAACACTAGTCAGCATTGTACGTCGTGGTAATCAGTGTTTAGGCATACGTAACACATTTTCCAACCATCTCAGTCGATGAAAATTCGTAACCTTACTAACTGGTTTACCGTCATCCCGTAATACCCTGCGTCTAACCTTATTATTATTTATCCAGTGATCTCAGTAGATGCGAGCGATATTTCTGAGACATCTGTGATCAAATATTAATAACTTATGAGTATTTCTTACTCTTAATGGCCAAGTTTCACAGCCGTATAATAGAACAGAATGAACTGATGCGCAGTCTACTAGTCCTTTTATTGATAGACGAATATCTCACATTCAGCGTAGGTGCAATAAGTTGACAAAGACTAAATGAGCTTTTTGAATCCATGTAGAAATTTGATCAGATACCAACCCATTAGGGTTGATCAGACTTCTATGATAAGCGAAGTTATAAAGATTGCACTTTTGAATTACATCACATTCAATGTAATTATACAAACACACACATGCATGTACTTATTGTTTGATTATATTTATTCAGTAAATTATCTTAGATTTCACATTAGATAACAATTTACATGTTGACTAGTCGAAGGAAATCGCTGACAACGCAGTTCATCTCAATTTTGAGGCAAGTGAACACATTTAAAAAGTAGCATGTTGGTTTTCTCAATAGAACTGGTAGAATCAGAAGGAATTTTGTGGAGATTTCAGTATTTTTCATAGTTGAAATCATGCGTCAAATGAAACTAGACCACCATAGAAAACCTGGAAGCACTGGACGGCCGTTCCGTCCTATTATGAGGCTCCTCAGCAGCGCGCACCCAAGTTCGCGCCTCGTGAGATTCGGACCCAGGACCTACCGCACAAATCTCATTCGATTTGTGTGAGGGCTGTGATACTACCCAGGTGCCCAGACTGAAGCAGGTGGTTTTCTCACAGGGCCACACCCCCAGCCTTCGACTTAAAGATCCGATCCATAAGGCAGTGGAGCATCGTGAGGAGATGCAGTCCCAAGGTAGCCGGTGACCAACGATTGATTCACACACCATTTGTTCCCTTAGGATATTAGCCCCTGTGCACCATGGGTTTGGAATGAGGATTTTCCAACTCACCTAGGTAGACTTTCCATGTCCACCAACCCGGTTAAAGAGCCGGACATTCGCTTTTCGTCCTCTCAATTTCGTAAACAACACACCCTAGTGTGAGAAGGCAGTGAGTAGGACTTTTTTGGCAGAGGCTGTATACGCGTGGCCATGTGAGAGCATTTGGGGGCAGGACCTACCAGTCTCACGCCAGAGCACTTAAGGTCATTTACATACGAATAATACTTCTTTACCAATACATGATGATCTAGTTAACTCAATTTTAGATTTCTTTTCATTGGCAAAATGTGGACGATTAAAATAACCAACTTAGAGAATACACCTTGAACAAGAGCTTATTAGTAAAATTTCCTGATTATTGCACTAAAAGTACTTTTCCGAATATCCGAGAGAGTAATTTATATATCCCTCCATGAACAAGGTTCCATCTACATAATTGCCCCCAAATACCCTGGTACGGCCGAGAGTGCGGAGAGTCCGCTCTCCCTATCCAAATACTCTCACATGGCCACGTGTAAATAGCATCTGCCACAAAAGTCCTACTCACTGCCTTCTCACACTAGGGGGTGTTGTTTACGAAATTAAGAGGACGAAAAGCGAATGTCCGGCTCTTCAACCGGGTTGGTGGACAAGGCGAGTCCACCTAGGGGAGTTGGAAAACCCTCATTCCAAACCAGTGGTGTACATTGGCTCCAATATCCTGAAGGAACAAATGGCGTACGAATCAATCGTTGATCACTGGCTACCATGGAACTGAATCTCCTCACGATGCTCCACTGCTTTGTGGATGAAATCTTTAGGTCAAAGGCTTCGGGTGTAGTCCCCTAAGAAAACCACCTGCTTCAGTTCGGGCACCTGGGCAGTATCACAGCTCTCGTACAAATCGAATGAGATTTGTGTGGTGCATATACATCTGGTTCCCCATTTGTACCAATATTTATGTGTTTAAATAAATAAATAAATAAATTTCTAAGTAATTCATATGAAGTATGATAAAACAAATGGCAGTAAAAAGTACGTTTCGTACAACTAATCCCCTTTATGGTCTTAAAAAGGAAAAGAACTATACAATAGTGAAATAGTATTAATACATTAATAATGAGAAGAGAAATGGAGAAAATGAAATAAACTCATGCTGACAATGTAGTTGACATAAATCCAGAGATATTTTCAAGTAGTATATTCACAAATACATACTTATCCGTTGAGATTGGAAAAACAAAATTGTTTAGAAATATCAGATTAGATGGTTTTATATTTTTCGTAGATCTTTTCTCAACCATCAATCGATTTGAGGTAGATTATGAATATAGATTTATTCAAGTCAGATCACTGTTGTATTGTAGCGAACAAGAACACGGGTGGGGACAATCGAATGTATTTAAACATAAATTACAAACTATCTCATTAAATTCTGATAACCATACAGTAAACAGTTAATTTGCAAAATAACAATCAATTATCTCAATCTTAACTGTTTCTTTTGCAAATATCCATCCATAGTCTCTAATGATAATTGTTCATGCATTTTCGTACCAATTGAGTGCCGTTCCCGTTCTCTCCTTATCGATTTTCTATTGAAATGCATTCAATGCCCGACCATCACCATATACTACTTATGTGGATATAAGTAGACCACAACACAGTACTATTAAACAATTCAGAGCATAATTTGAACGGATTTAAATAAATTCGATTTTATTATCCCGTTAAAAGCTAGTTAATATTTTACTAATTTAGTTAGTCAGTCGGTCACAACGTACAACTTAGTACGTACGTACATCAGTTCAAGTTGCCATATCACATTAACACAGAGATGCAGTTGTCGATTCAAATCGCATTGTGGTGGAGCAAGTAATGGTATAAGTAGTAATCAGAATGATTCGGGTTTGAAGATGTTATTCAAGGAGTACAATCTAATGAAATAAATTTGGAAAGACAAAAAAAGAAAGAAACATGAGGAATTTGGAAGATTAGAATTTAGGAGAGCACAAACAGTGGATGCACCTTCGACATTGTAAACAATTTTGCGCTATGTCATTCAAGGTCTCTAACCATCGATTGCTATCATCTTGCGAATCTCAACCAGGTAGTCTACACCTACCAACATGGCTCAGTCCACTTGTCAGTGACTTCATGGATTTGTGCCACGTTTTGGTCTGGCCACCCCTAGCTTTCTTCCAACTTACTCCTACACCATAAAATATTGCACGTCAGGGCAGTCGATGGTCGGGCATACGTAACACGTGTCCCAGCCATCTCAACTGATGAAGTTTCACTACTTCATCAACCGATTTGCCATCCTTACCCAGTACACGTTTCCTAACAACTGCATTACTTACTCGGTGGTCCCAGGATACATATGAGTAATGCTTCGAAGACACCTACTGATTAATATGACTAAACTTCACTTGGACCTGATTGTTCAAAGACATACTATTTTTGTTAATGAAAATATCACCATAAATGTATGTTATTAATCAACTCTTCAAATGAAGATGAACTTAACAAATGATAAACAAATACTTACTTGAATCACTTTTTCCATTGAATCATTTACACTAGTACAATCACTACTGTTTATATTAGAATTTGAAAAGTCTTCATGTGTCACAGAAAAACATGATGATGACGATGGTGATGGAGGAGATGAAGAAACAGAAGATTTCAATGGATAAGATACAATCTTCTTAGAATTATCAGCAGTATTAGTAGTAGTATTATGATGATTATCATAAATTTGTTGCTGGGTAGGATTAATGGAATGACTATCATTATTCTTATTCGTTAGTGATTGAGATGATGGTTGTTGTTTTAAATGACGTAACAAACATTTCTCTTTATTAATTAATACATCTAAATCATTTTTTAAACGAATCAACTGCTGATTATTTAAACTGGTTACACCTAAATTGGCTAATTCTTTTTGTATTTCATCAAAACTGAAATTGAGATCTTCATCCGACAGGATCATTTGTTGTTTCAAAGAGGTTGTTACTGACTATGACGGTGATAATAGTGACTGAGACGCATATAAGAATGTCATGTTCCAGATGCCTATGATACGATTATTCCATCTACATAAAGAAGTTATACATATGATAATGGCTGATCACTGACCAATGAACAGTTAAACGTAAACAAAGGGGTAATGAGTTACCTAATGAAACAACAGAGAGAGAGAGTATATACATATGCCATCGATAAAAATATTACATAAAAAAGTTTTTTTCCCAGAAAAAATGTAATGGCTAGAAGTCCTAGATTTGCCATGATGACGATGAGTACCAACTTGTAAACACTGGACGCAGACCTACACATAGATTCTCTTAAACTACTTATTATTGATGAATATTGTCCCCTTGTCATACTTGCTCATAGGAATGGTTAGTTAACATAACAAGAAATAATATTATTAAAATGCTGAACTAATCTATGCTCCCAAATGCCCTAGTATGGCCGAGAGTGGGAAAAGTCTGCTCTCCCTATCCAAATGCTCTCACATGGCCAGCGAATATATAGCTTCTGCCATAAAAGTCCTACTCACTGCCTTCTCACACTAGGGGGTGTTGTTTACGAAATTAAGAGAACGAAAAGCAAATGTCAGGCGCTTCAACCGGGTTGGTGGACATGGAAAGTTCACCTAGGGGAGTTGGAAAACACTGATTCCAAACCAATGGTACACATGGGCTGGCTCCAGTATCCTGAGGAAAAAAATGGTGTATGAATCAATCGTTGGTTACCGGCTACCATGGGAATGCATCTCTTCACGATGCTCCACTGCCTTGTGGACTAGACCTTTAGGTCAAAGGCTCCAGGCGTGGCCGCCTAAGGAAACCACCTGCTTCGGTTTGGGCACCCAGGCAGTATCAGAGCCGTCAAGCAAATCAAATGAGATTTGTGCGGCGCATATGTAGCTGATGCTTCCTTGTACCAATATTTATGTGTTTAAATAAATACTAAAGAATTAATCTAAGGCCACTTTTGAAAACCTAGAAGCACTAGACGGTCGTTTCGTCGCGTGCGACATCACAGATGAGCACTGTTGAGAAGTCCCATACCAGGAAAGAAACGGCCGCCCAGTGCTCCCAGGTTTTTAGTGTTGGTCTAAGTACGGTTGGTTCAAGATTTCAATGAAATTTAACAATCTCTATAATCCAATACTTACAAAAAACACTATGCTTACTAAAATGGTTCAGAAAAACAGAACAGATGAGGCAGAAAATGTAGCAATCACTGAAAGCTGAGCTGAAATTCCTTAGTATTAAGCACTTACGATAGTTTCAATAAAAGCACATTCAAACACTATCAGGTAAAAATGTGCAATATATTGATCGACTTAAATCAGTTAAAAGCATAGAATACGATAAATGTATATCGTTTTAATGATAAATTTGCGGTGTAAATCTATCTGAACCATTGTGAACGCCTTTGAGTCATGTCACAAATGTATCCAACCACAAATCGAAAAGATCCTAGTCAGGTAGTATGTAACTATTCGGAAAGATTAATCTATCAGATAATGATTTCACGAACTGAACACAATTCTTGATGTGGCGCTGATAGCTTTTTTCTAACCTACTCTCTTATACACGAGTATACATCACCAGTCGAGGTAGACGATGATGATTGAAGGTACCTTACACATGAAACGGATGATTATGATATCGAAAATTGCGCTAAATTCAGTTAGGAGAAATAAAATCGACTATCCACACTCCCAATCGTATACCATAGTAACACCAATACACAATAAAACTTATCCAGAGTTCTATAACACAATTCGTAATAACCCAAAGCATAACATTATACAACTCATACAAAACTAGTCAGTTAATAAAAGAAAACAGTAAGTGGCAAAATAATATTTTCTCATATATTACATATTCATTTGTTTAAGAACAAATTACAATCCAAAAGCAAGAATGTTAAGTCTTTTCTGTACAAGGAATTGAATCTAAGAAAGAGAGACAGAGAGAGGGAAGAAGGGGAAAAGAAAGGACATGTGAAATTTTAACAACAAAAACAACAACAGCTCAAAAACGCAATAAGAATCCTTTATCTACACCACTAGTTGTAAAAGCATCACCTGATCCTTGATTTGCTGTACCTGGACGTGAATCAGACATATTGCTATAAAACCGTTGACCTCCCATAGGAGGCGCTGGAGGCTGATACCTTACACGACTACCACTTGTTGTGGCCAATGATGATGCCGCTGCTGCTGCTGCAGCAGCAACAGCAGCTGCAGCCGCTGCCAAAGCACCACCGCCAGCGGGTGCTCGAGGTGACGCTCTTTTCACTGCAACACCACCTTCAGACTTTGCTGGCCAACTTGGAAACATTGATGGATGGATAGCACGAGGACGTTCATTGAAATATGAATGAACAAGTGCTTTTTCTGCGGTAATCCGTTTATCAGGACAATATGTAAGGAAGCTGTAAAGACAATAAATTTTAAAGAAATCAATCATCTATAAGAACTTTTCAAACAGCTTTAAATTTTTAAAAAAAACATGTCCGCTACAAATGAGATTAAAAACGTCTTGGCTTTAAATTTATGTCTAACCATTTCAAGCACGTTAACTCCGCCTGAAGCCCCTCTTGGGCTACCCCCAGTCCCAAGCCCAGATAAAGGAGGAGGAGGGTCAAGAATGGGGTTACCGACCCCAATTCATAGTATTGGTAACCTAAGTAATTTTTCTATAAATTATACAAAAGCTAGAAATATTAAAAAATAACATTAAAGCTCGTAGGTTGTAATTATTACAAATTCATTTCAATCGGAATACTACTGAAAATCAGTGAGCACTGGACAAGAAAAACCTACAAATTAAAACCAATCTCCTAAAAACCCTTTCAACTAAACTCCGATAGTCAGATCACCAGTGACCTACTTCAAGATGATTCTGAAGTTCTAGTATGAAGTCATGATTGGTAAAGTTCAAGCACACAGGGAGTGAAAGCTAACACCAATAGGATTGGATGATTGTCGCTTGATATCGCAAACTGATTGAGATTTAGGTTGCATAACTGAACAACGGTCTAGTGGTTCTAATAGTTACGCATTTTTCGAGACATCAAAGTCCTGGTGTATTGAAAGGTACTCACAAGGATGTTTGTAAGTATTATGTAGTGGAACGTGGAGTAGAAATTGCAACAATTGTTGAACAGAGTGTATTGAAAGCATGGCGTTGGTAGAACACTAGGGGGACCAGTCGATTAGACAGTTTAGATTGCAGAACACACCGGAAAACGCAAATGGACGGTTAAAGGCTATGCAAATATATTAGGTAAATACTTTTTAACTTCTCGCAATAAAGATAAATACCTCCTGCCTATTGTCTTATCTTACACTGGGTTCGATCTCTGATATGGGTCGTAGGTACTCACAGTCGAACAATCCTGTAATAGAACGAAATAGCTGTTCAGTGTACACTGATTTCTAAAAGTACCTCAACTGACATTAATCTGTGAAGCATGAAACCTACAAAACAGATTAATCCCTACAAGACCCTTTCAACTAAACGTTAAGATTTGTCAATAATTTAGACACAAAATAAATTACCACTTTTAACTGACCTATTCAATAAATCAAAGCCTTGATCAGATATTTGTTTCTCAGTAAATCTTCGTCTTAATTGATTGTAAGGATATTCAGTAAAAACACATTTTTTAATTCCTGGTAATTGAGATACACCTGGCCAAATACGTTCTGTTGGTGTGCCCAAATCTCGAAAAATAATATTTAATTCATCTACTTCACCTTTCCCAGGGAATAATGGTCGTTGTAGTAAGAATTCAGCAAAAATACAACCAACTGACCATAAATCAATTGGACAAGTATATTGTTTAGTACCTATTATTTTCAACAACAACAACAAAAACGAAGTTGGCAGTAATTCATACAAACGAGAGAGTCTAGTTAATAATATCTAAAACGCCAACTGCATCAACTATAATTAGCTAATAATAACATATTCACAAATGATTGATCATTGGGTGGTGATCAATATCATGCGTGTCAAGTCCTTCTTAGTGCTTATCGAATGCTATCGATTAAGTTGCAATGTGGCCACTAGTCTAGGTGGCTCGATACTGCGTGCACTATGTTGAGATAAGGTGGTGGTTGGAGGTGGTCAACAGGAAACCCTGGACCCGGGTTTCGTGCTACTTGGCACTCGTCAGCAAGGTGTACCTGTAATCTTGAGGGAACTGGTGCCTCCTGACGGACTCGATCCCGTGTCACTCAGCCTCACAGTCAGAGACGTTACCACTGTGCTATTCAGGCTGCGACTGACCTCCTGTAGGACTGAGATGTATTCACAATTGATTGATCACTGAGTGGTGATTAATGTCATGCGTGTCAAGTCCTTTTTAATTCTGATCGTCAGGGAGCACCAGTTCCCTTAAGATTACAGGTACACCTTGCTAACGAATACCAAGTAGCACGAAACCCGAGTCCAGGGTTTCCTGTTGACCACCTCCAACCACCATCTTATAATAACATAGTAGTTAACACTAAATATGTATGAAACAATAAGGGAATCAGTCTGATATGTCAGTGAAAGAGAAATGTAACGAACCAGTAAGGGTATATAGATACATCCAACTTCGTTAAATCTATGAAATTATATAACATTATAAATTTCATTCATGATTAATTTCTAATCGGATTTCATTGTGTTAAGTGTTTGTAATTTATGTTAATTAACTCTTGCTTAGTCTAATCTGGTTCTCAATTGTCGGTCGAATTTTCAATTATCTAACCTACTGAGATCTATTAATCAGTACGTTGAACGAGTACACAGTCTGGTATTAAGTGTATTGTTGAGTATCGTATTATCACGTGATTACAATGGAATGTCGCCAAACCATTTAATCCCTTTATTATTATTTCGAAGTCCAATTCACATATTGGATTAGTCTAGCATAAAATCCAAGAATTTGTCAAGCAATGAAGTTTTCTTCTTTATGGCTGGTAAGTTTTGACTATTACCGTTTTCTTGAGATCATCGTCAGTAGAGATACTGAATAATAATGAGAAACAATTTTGTACCGCCTCACCTAAGTACAGTCAAACAGTACAGACTAAGATTTTACGTTTACTTTATAATAAGACAATCAATGAACCTCAGACATGAATTAATATACCCATTAATGATTAAATCTATTTACTAACATTAAAAAATAACAAAAAAAACAAAAACAGCAATTAAAGCTACCTAGTAACAGTTCCGGTGCTCGATACCATAAGGTGACAACAACTTCTGTATAATGTTTCAATGGAGAGCCATATTCACGAGCTAAACCAAAATCTCCTACCTATAGTAATTGACATACCAGAAATAAAATGAAATAACAGTGAGGTTTTTAAAAATTAGAACTAGTCCATTTCAATGATGAATAGTCAAAATCAGTGTCAAATAAGATCAACTGATCAAGTTTATGATCTAATCATAGGGTTAATCAATAGGCAGACAGTTCTACAACATCTTTTCGCTAAAGTTTCCAAATACATCGTTCAGTAGCCGCCTATGGAGTATAATGATTGTCTCGAAACGAGAACAAAGTAACCGAAATAGCAAATATGAACGATTGAGTTCCGACCTTTAGTAGTCGAAAAGTTATGCGCTTGTAGCGAGTCCTACAGGTACTAGATTCAAGCATTAGACGGACCATGGGGTGCACTTTAGTGGAGTCTCAGATAAAGACAACGATTTTCTTATCACTTATGATTTCCCAATAGCGTTCCTTAAGAGGTGTTAGTCTGACAAAATGATTTCAAGAAAGTCGAATCACTCTCTCTAGGAGGATATATGAAATGTTTCAGAATTACAGACCTATGTGGCCCCCAAATGCCCTGGTACGGCCGAGAGTGGGGAGAGTCACCTCTCCCTCTCGAAATACTCTCATATGGCCAGCAAATATATAGCCTCTGTCAGGGAAGTCCTACTCACTGCCTTCTCACACTAGGGGGTGTTTTTTACGAAAGTGAGAGGACGAAAAGCGAATGTCCAGCGCTTTAACCGGGTCGGTGGACATGGAAAGTCCACCTAGGGGAGTTGGAAAACCCTCATTCCAAACCAATGGTGCACATGGGCTCCAGTATCCCGCGGGAACAAATGGCGTACGAATCAACCGTTGATCACCGGCTACCATGGGACTGCATCTCCTCACGATGCTCCACTGCCTTGTGGATCAGACATTCAGGTCAAAGGCTTCGGGTGTGGTCCCCTAAGAAAACTACCTGCTTCAGTCTGGGCACCTGGGCAGTATCTCAGCCCTCACACAAATCGCATGAAATTTGTGAAGCGCATATTTATTTGGTGCTTCCTTGTACCAATATTTATGTGTTTAAATAAATAAATAAATAAATACAGACCTATGTTGTTTATATGAGCAGTACCAAACATGTAAAAACAGATGTATCTTTACTTTTTCTTTCTATCAGTAAAAGAAAGTGTTTACAGTAACTAATGAACAAATTGGGATTTATCATTTATTTAAACACATAAATATTGGTGCAATGGGGCACAAGATATATATACGACACACAAAACAATGAAAATGGGAAGAGAAAAGGGTAGGACGTATAAGAAAAAAAAGAAAAAAAAGGTAATGTTGTGGGAAACTGAAATGTACAACCAGAAGACCTCTCTCAGTTAAGAAAGTTAGAACCATTCTTTATGAAGCCTTCGGCTTATATTCTGAGCCATATCTGATAACAACAGAAGCCAGCTCTTTGCAGCTTTCTTTCATACCACGACATCATGTCATACACTGATCACCCCTCCGCTTTTTCCAACCAGTTCCAAAGTCGGCAAATAATGCACGACGTGGAATTCTCTAGGACGACATTCGTAGATGTCCAAGCCACCGAAGTCAGAGTTTCAAGATGGCAACACCAATTGGGTTATCGTCTCAGCGCACGAACACACGATGCCAAATTGGGAAATTTATTTAAATAATAATTGTTGGGGTGACCCAGAAAACTTCTCGCAATAGATATGACAAGCTCAGGAAACATTAAAGATTTTATCCAATTAGCGTTTGACTAGACGTTTTGCTAAGAGTATCACGAAAATAAAAAGTTACATATAGAGTTTCTGATTGACTGATTTTCAGGAAAACCCAAAAAACTTCTAAAATACCATAAGAACCCTATATTTTATGTACATAGATGAACCTTTGGAGTAAAGTGATGCTCGCATATTTTGCGCTTTTTCTCTCATGTTTAGTCGGTGTATAGATTTAGCTTGAGGGTTACGAGACTAGCTTAGGATCCGAGTATAGCACATCAATCAGCAAGACTTACCAATCATAATAATAATAATGATAACTCACTTTTAGAATTCCTTGATGACTAAGCAAAAGATTTGAAGTTTTTAAATCTCGATGTAATATCCAATTATCATGTAGATGACTAACAGCTCTTAATAATTGTACAAGTAAACACTTCACTTCACCAACACTGAAAGGACCATTCATAATCTGTAGATTAATAAATAAAAGATAAGGTAATAAGCTACGAAACACATAAGAGTGGATGAAACATCATACTATGTATGTAAGAAAGTAGATATTTATTTCCCAACCGAAACAGTCAGTCAGTCACAATGTAGAACTTTGTATGTACGTACATCAGTTCGAGTTGCCATACCACATTTACACGGAGATGCAGTTGTCGATTCAAATCCCGTAAGGGGTAGAATTAGTGATAGTATAAGCAGTAATCCAAAAGATTAGGGTTCGAAGATGTTATTCAAGGAGTATAATCCAGTGAAATAAATTTGGAAAGGGAAAAAAAGATAGAAACACGAAGAGTTCAGGAGATTATAATTTGGGAGAACACAAAGAGTGGATGCACCTTTGCAATTGTAAACGATTTTGAGTCATATCATTCAAGGTCTCTAATTATCGGTTGTTATCATCTCGCGGATACCAACCAAGTAGTTTACACCTACCAGCATGGCTCACTCCAATTGTAAGTGATTTGATGGATTTGTGACACGTTTTAGTCTGGCCGCCTCTAGCTTTCTTCCAACTTACTCTTACACCGAAACAAAATAAATAAAATTTGATTCATAGAAAACAAACTGAATATTCAGTTTGAACTACAAGAAACCGATATCCATAAATAATTAATTATCAACAAATACGCATTACAGACTAAATACAATTTCAAAAAAATGGTATACATATTGGCAATTGGACTGTGGATCAGAAATGATATGTGGATCTGACATGGACAAGACTTTAATTCATTACAGAGTTAATGACCTTCAAAACGGACAGTGTCCAATCGATTATGGTACCTGATCGTGTTTACTTCGTGTCAATATTCTGCAAACAAGTATCTCCTTTTGTTACATAGAAAACCTATTCTACTGAGGAACTGTCTTATTTTTAATATCAATTTACTGAGAGCACACACCAATAATTCGGTATTGTGAGCGCTCATTGTTAGACATTATTTTAACACTCTATTACCATTCTGTTCATTAATTATTGGCAATTAAGAACTTCTCTTATCCTTCGAACTGCAATTCATAAAAAGGATTAGATTTGCAATCGCAGGATCTACCTATAGACCTGTTGAGAGAAACATGTTGAACAAATCTGATTACATAATCTACTTATGAGTTTTATTATCAGAAGGGGTTTTGTGGAGATTCAGTATTTTCATAGTTGAAAGCGTGAATCAATTGAAGCTACACCAACAGGGAAAACCTGAAAGCACTAGACGGTCGTTTCGTCCTATTATGGGACTCCTCAGCAGTGTGCATCTGTTGTGTGATATCAACTCATTGAAAATAATTGGTGAACGGTTGCTGAACTTCGTGGATTGGTTGGAGTTAGACATAAACACCATCGGATGCCGGTTAAGTGCTCTAGCGCGAGACTGGTAGGTTCTGGGTTCGAATCTCGCGAGGCGAAGTCGTGGATGCGCACTGCTTAGGAGTCCCACAATAGGACGAAATGGCCGTCCAGTGCTTCTAGGTTTTTCCTGGCGGTCTAGCTTCAATTGGTTCACGCTTTCAATTATGAGTTTTAGCCAACTTTAAAACTCAATAAGAAAAAAAGACTTTTACAGATAGTAAACGATATTTATTATTACGTATTTGAATAATAGAGCGGTGACCAATAGATTAAAGCAGTCAGGTTTCAAATGATAATTCATAGATTCGGTTCACTTACTTCGGTTTAATTAAACCGGTACTAGTATCCCTAACCTTTAACACAAACGATTTCGTTCACAGTCAAGTAAACATAACATTTACCTAGTAAATGTGCAATATAAAATATAAAGACTGCAGGAATAAATTATACGACTAATAATGATAATAATAATCGTGTGTTCGCTAGTGACTAACTCAGAGGCACTTCCGAGAGTCCTAGTAAGAAACCGTGTTCAAAAGAGTATAACCATCTCAGATTAGGAGGAAGTATCTATCAGCCGGATTAAATTACTCCAGTGTATTATCGCAAATCGATTGAAGTTAAGAATAAAAATCATTTGATTCCGAGTCAGTGACCGAAAGATTAAAAAGGTCGTTGTGAAACCTGAAGTCCTTGGTTCGATTTACAGCTGGTTCGTGGATGCGCACTGCCGAGCACTCCCAGGTTACGACGAAAAGGTCGTCAGTGAGTTAAACTAAGAAGAGTCGATAGTTTTAACTATGAAATTATGTTACATAAAAAAATTACAAAAGCAATAACCAAACTACCTACTTACCTCCATTAATGATTTTAAATCATGTTCAACATAATCCATAACTAAATAAATCTTATCCATATTACTACCAACTACTACTTCACGTACAGTAACAATATTTTCATGTTGAGCTTTCATTAACATATTTATTTCACGTAATGATGTAATTGGGAAACCATCACGTTCTTTTTCCATTTTTAAACGTTTTAATGCAACAATTTCATTGACTTTTTTATCACGTGCTCTATAGACAACACCATATGTACCTTCTTCAATACGATTAAGACATTCAAATTCTTCCACTGATCTACAACCCTTGAAAAAAAAGATCAAATGAGAAAAACGATCAAAGATAGACAGAAAAAATGGATACAATCGCTGCCTTAATAGCTGAGGTAATGTCCCTAACTGTAAGACACTCATTGATGAGGATTTGAATTTCATGAGTACCAGTCCCACAAAAATTGAAGGTACCCATTTCAAGAATGTCAACTAGCATCAAACTTGGGTTTAAGGTTTCTCCACGTTTGTCTCTGACTAACATAGTGGACGCTATAGAGAACCACTCAGAATAATGACCACATTAGAACTTGATCAATATAATTAAATCAGAGATGAAGATTAGACATTCAGTCAGCCACATAGTAGTACCAGGCACATATATGATTCGGTCCAAGTTGCTACACTTGATTAGTACAACAAGATCAACATAGAATTCATAGTAGTTATTTCAATGGTAGTAATATATAAAAAAGACTGCATATAAGAATATGAAAGAATTAGTTCGTAGAAATACAGGTATAAAGCAATTTAAATCTCACAGTTTAATAGCAGACAAAGAGTGTATACACCTACGCTATTGTGACCGATTCTGAACAGTTGCTGCTGCCTTAACGTGGCGGTCAGGCTTACCTATCGTGATGAACCAATCAACCTATATTGGCTGGAACAATCGTTCCTCAGGGTCCTACCATGCCACACAGATCGGTCGAAGAACAATAAGACTAAAAGCAGAAAACCCAAAGTACGAGGGAGAAGTTGTACTGCTGACTGTACAGAGGTGTAACGGCAGTAAGGTGTTTCCCTCAGACGACCAGCATAACAGCGATGCTGTCTTCCCACAAGGAGGGGTGGGGTTAGAAAAGATCGACACTAAAAATGTAAACCTCGCCTAACGCCACAGATATACATCTCCATAGGTATGATCTCAACAAGTACGGAGTGAGCACAAAAATTACCCAAAAAAAGGTCGTGTGTGACTGACCCCAAGCAGTTGTCCCTTGGGCACTACGGTTACGCTCTCAGGTCACTAAGACCACCTCTAACCCAATTTCCTTTTCAGGTACCTTTAAAAGAACCCTTCCACAGTGTGGGCAACCGAGAAGTGATAAACTCTAACAGCACTCAAGATCACTGAGAATTAGACAAGTATGATATTGTTAATTACTCAGTATAGAAAACAAATACATAATCACTATTTAATAAATATAAAAAATAATGAAGATTTTCACCCTTACTTGTATAGATGGGAAATAGAATGGCTTCCCAGGTGGCTTATTCTTAAAGGAACTGATTTCATCATCATTACCAATATCATTGTCTTTACGAAGTTCAACATCATCGTCAACTTTATGATCATGGATATCATCATCATCCAAAAAACCGTTATCAGGTACTCCACCTTCGTCACATTCAGATGAAGATTCTGAATAGCCCGGATAACGTGGGGGAGGCGGCAGTCTATTAAATTCACCTTTTATATCATTCTCAATTATTTTATTTCCAGCGGGAAATAATACATGCATTTCCTTAGATTTTCCACCGGCTTTCTCATTGATGTCAATGTCTGCTATCTTGCTGTAGCTACTTTCATGATTATTTCGTCGACTATTGCTATTATCATTGATATTGTGTAAATTTGAGTCACTTTCTTCTGAATACTGTCCACCATCTTCGGATTTATTTACTATTAACTTATAGAGATTACGATTACCTTGTTCATAGTCTTCTTCAAGCTTTGAAGAGGATGATAACTTTCTCATTGTTGATCGACTATTTTTTATTTTTGAGCTCTTAGATGAATGTTTTTTGTGCTTACTAGATTCTGTTCCTAGAGATTTTGGCATTTTACTTTTAGTGCGTCCAGTAGTCGATTGTATATGTGAATCTTCTATTTGCAATTCATGAGTTTCACTGTCTTGTGATAGTTTTTCACGTTTACTAGCCAAATTTACCCCATAATTATTACTTTCAGATGCTTCACCTTTGTCACCTTTACGCTTATGTTTCATTTTCACAGATATTTGATTTGGACCAACATAGTGACGTGTAGATTCAGGTGGTGGAGCAGTTTCTCTAGCTTCACGATGATAACGTTTCTTAGAATAACTATAAGATTCATCAAGATCATTAGGTGATTGAGAAGAACGTCGAATTTGTTGACTACTTGTTAATGATGTTGATGACTTACGATATCTCAATGGTGATGAATGTGATGAACAACCACTATATGCAGAAACTTTACTCAGTTGAGATGAAGCAGATGATATGGAATTTAATGAACCTGAACGACTATGTTGAAGAGGTCCATGATGACGATCTGGAAGTTTAGTATATTTTTGAATTGATTCCCAAGTATTATAGTCTAAATGACTACTACTATTATTACCAGATTGAATTTTTCGTTGTTTACTTTCTTTTTTCATTTTTAATGTTATCATCTCTCGACTTTTTGATGTGATCTTCTGTTCTTTTTCTTTTCGATCACGTTTAGATTTTTTAGATTTTGATTTACGAATTACCTCTGATTGTGAAGGATTTAATTCATCTGTATAAATAGTTTGTGATTCAATCATTCTATCCGTTACAGTAACACAACTTGATTGACTTGGACCATATTTTAACACGTATTCCTCACGTTCTGTTTGTAAGGTTGTTTTATATTGTCGATTATCTTGAGGTGACTTCTCTAATGTTTGATTAATTGTGGACACTAATATACGATCTAAAGAAACAAACACAACGTAGAAATTATCAGAAGGGGTTTTGTGGAGATTTCAGTATTTTCATAGTTGAAAGCGTGAGTCAATTGAAGCTAGACCACCATGGAAAACCTGGAAACTCTGGACGGCCGTTTCGTTCTATTATGGGACTCCTCAGTAGTGCGCATCCCGCCTCACGAGATTCAAACTCAGGACCTACCAGGTTTTCCATGGTGGTCTAGCTTCAATTGACTCACGCTTCCAACTATGAAGACAACGTAGAAATAACATCACAAACATGTTTATTCGAATAGCTGCACGGAAAATTACAATTACATGGTATTCGAAACTTAACAGTAAGGTGTACAATCAACTAAAATAATAATAGAGGAAATATGTGACTCAGAAGGACGATTTTATCGAAACTGTATTACCTTAGCTGAGTAACTGAATTCTGAAGTGTTTATTATCTTTCTAGACAGCAGCCCACATAATTATAGATAATCTTCGACGAGTGAATGGTTTTTACACGAATCTCCACTGGTTAGCACAAAGAACTGATAAAATTATAAGATCAATATGTATTCATGCTTCGATTCATCCCCTTACAGAAGCCCAAGTACAGCTGACAGGTAAAACACAGGTAGATTACAGGTCTGATCTACAATATATATATCAGATCTTGTAACATAAACAATAATAACCCGCATGTAACATTATTTGTTTTCTGTTAACTGAAGATAGTAAGGTTGGATATACCAGAACATGACGCTAGTCTGGAGGCAATAACCGCTGATCCGAGAAGTTTAAGAGTACGCAGACTTCTTAGTTTTTAAGACGATGGGAACTAACCGGTGGGAAACTCAAATGACATAGCTATAAGTTGATAACTGTAATTCAGATGTAGTTACTCAATGCATCCCAATAAATTTAAAAATCTTAGCAGTTTTCAATCAGTTTCTTTCATAGCTCGTTTTGTTTATTTTATGACGAGTGAATACAGCTGCTCTACTGAAAATGGTTTTCAGTAGTGTCACCTAACATCTCCAATGATTGATTGCAGTTATCGCTCAAACACTGTGACCCGGAATGTCTCAACCTTCAGATAAATTTCAGACCAAGAGTCAAGAATTCCGCGTGACAATCGTAACCAATGGTTGGAAACTCTAGGTGACATGACTCAGAATCGATCACAATGGCGTAGGTGTATACACTCTTTATCTTCCCTTAAACCTTGAGATTAAAATCGCTTCATATCTTTCTTTCTTTCTGTACTATATCGTTGTATATAATCTTTCTTTTATATATTAGCACCACTAAATTAACTACTTCTATGAATTCGGTGTACATCTTGTTGTGCTAACGAAATATGGCAACTTGGACCGATGCATCAATGTGCCTGGTCCTACGTTGTAGCTGACTGACTGATTCCACAAATCAGTGGAACATCTTGGTTTGACTGCCCTGCAGACTTCTCCTAACTCATTCATATTCTAACTATCATCCCATATCAGGTTACGCAGTGGGTGGGTATAAATTTGAAAAGCCATCCTAAATTCTGTATACCATTATTTTAAAGAAAAGTAATTTAGTTATAATTATGATTACCTTTTTGCTTTGAATCCGATTGTTTCGAAGTCTGATACTTTCGACTAACTTCTGAGTCTTCCACTTTTGGATTGGGATGGATATCTTCTCTTTCACTGCTGGAGGTAGAATTCTCTTTGTAATACACTGAGCGTCCATGCTGATGAGACCCATGCATTGGCTCTGAATCTATGTTATCGCGTATCCGCTTTTTCTCACGCTCACGTCGTTCATATCTTTCATGTAAACGGTTCCGATATTGATGCTCTTCAAGTGTCAAATTTGTATTCCCTGGAGGATATTTACTGGAACCTGATTTTTCCCGCCTTGAATTTTCATAACGTCGGTCCTCTTCACTAGATGCCTCACCCTCTTCTTTATCAAAATGAGTCATTTGTTTGCTGTTATATTCACGCTTTGACTCAACTGGTGGCATACCAGAATCATTTTCATCATCTGAGTAAGCCTCTCCTTCTTCACGGGGTGAAACAATAGTACGACGGCCTTTATCACTTAGATAAGCTGATTTAGCGTGAAACTGTGAAGACTTGAAATCTCCTGTATAACTGGTACCGGTTCTTTTGAGAGTTACAGGTGATTCACCTTCATTCTAAACCATAAGAAGTTGACCAAAACTTAGTAAGCTAGCGCTTAGTTACGACAGTAAAACAAAAGTCAGAACGGTATGAGCTGTTTATAAGCCTGATATTTGGAGATAAAGTACCCGCAAAAATGAGGTTACGCAGAACAATTTAAAAAATGTTGGACGTGGGAAAACCACAACTAATATTTTTTGTTCGTCCGACGGTAACACTCAGACTGAGAGATAAATTGCCTAAACAAGCCACGATTTTTATATCCATCAGCCCACTTTACTATGTGAAGCAATTTACACTAGCAAACGCTTTGGGGATTCACTTTTCCGTGGTGGTGAAAACTTTCAATGCAGCTAAGCAAAAGTATGGCGAAGTCCGTAAACAGTTAAATACTTTCCAATTCAGTCAGTCAGCTATAAGCAACATGAAATCTGATATACATGTACATCAATTCACGTTCCCACACTACATTGAAACACCCAGACAAAACTATTCAGTCATATCCCAGAGTGATAGGAATACTAATAGTACAAGTGGTAATAAAAAAGATCACATACAGGAAGAAAGTATAAGATTTCGGGAATCAAGATCTGAGAAAAAAAGATGGGTGAGTGCATCTGTCCCAATACCATCAGTTTTAAGTCATCTTATCCAACATCTCTACCAATCGTTACGATAACCGCACTGGACCTGACTAGATAGTCTACACCTAACTACATGGCTCCGTCCAACAGTCAGTGGCTACATCGAATGATGCCATAAATAAGTTTAGCAGCCTCTAGCTTTCTTCCAACCTGTTCCCACATAAGACATCAGTTATCGATGTAGGCAATGGCTGGACATGCGTCAAATGTGTTCACGCCACTTCGGCTAATAATGATTCATTACCTTACTACCTTATTCAATTCAAACGGGTTATACTAGAAGCGCGCATCAATCGTTCCTCGTAGATCCTCGTAATTTTCTGCCAAAATCTATCAGACTCAAAATCCTTTAAATGGCAGGAGAAGCTATTCGGATTGAAAGACTGGAGCTTTGTGTACAAAAGAAACATCCTCCGCAGCTTCTTTTACCATGGCAAACCTTGAACACAGTAAGTCAATGGGTATTTCAATTATGAGATTAATGTACGTAGAGCCTTCTGTTTTAGGCCTTCATTAATAAATTTATCTTATCTATCAGTGAAGTGCTACTCACTGCCTTCTCTCACTAGGAGTGTTGTTTACGAAACTGAGAGGACAGAAAGCGAATGTCAGGAGCTCTAGCCGGGTTGGAATATATGGAAGATTCATCTAGGGGAGTTGGAAAACCCTCATCCCAAACCAATGGTGCACGTGAGCTGGCTCCAGGATCCTGAAGAAACAAATGGTGTATGAACCTATTGGTGGTCACGGGCTACCATGGGACTGTATCTCCTTGCATTGCTCCACTGCCCTGTGGTTAAACCTTTAGGTCGAAGGCTGTGGGTGGTCTTCTAAGAAAACTATCTGCTTCGGTCTGGGAACTCGTGAAGTATCACAGCCCACACAAATCAAGTGACTTGTGCGACACATATATATTTAGTGCCTCTTTGTACCAATATTTGTGTTCAAATAATAATATCATATAATAAACTTAAAGTTAGAAATCAATAGCCAAACCAACCAAATTAATAAAAATACCATAAACTAACATAGTCCAACTCATCATCTACTTCCACCAGGAAGTCCATTTGCTGTCTGAAAGAAAAAGACAAAATGCATCACATTTTTTAACAGAAGAGAATTTATATCTTATTTACTCCAATATATTAGCATTTGTTATGTCAGTAACAGAAATTTCTTGATGCCAGCATGCTACATAACCGGGATCAACTTTTTAAGACAACTTTTGAGAAGGGAAACATAAGTCTATCATTTCGAGTTTAGATGATTCACGAACAGCACCGAAGATCAAGAAAGCAAGCAAATATTAAAGTTAATAAAAAGAAAATCCGAATATATAGAGAAAAAGTACATATAGCTTGAGACTTTGATTACATCAAATTGTGTTACAACACAAAAAACTTGTTGGATATGATGCTCGCGAAGGTAAGAATTAACAGGCAGAAACAAGGTAACATGTAGAAGTCGATAATATTAGCTCAGAAGTAACCACGCTATCGTTTAACTGATATTTAACATGTCTGTACTTATCACTGAGTTGATCTGCTCGACTAATCGGCCATCAAGTTTTTTCTCAGTATTTTCAGTTCACTTGTTTTTCTGCGAATGCTAATAAGTGATAACTTAAATCGATGCAATTTCGTGAGAATGTGTGCATATTTCTCTGGTTCGATTAATCTACTCATATAAGACAATGTAGCACCTTACAAAATGTATTTATACACTACCGTCAAGAAATTTATATCGGAACCAACAGTAAAATCAACAAAAGAGAAAAAGACTGACAGTGAAAGGAATAAGAAACTAAGGAAACTGTCCGAATACTTTTTTATGAATCACATAATATTCTTAACAAGATTTTTCAACACAAAATAACAACTTTGCAGTAGTTTAATTCAATGTGGTTCACCTCAAGATCATTGACGGTTGAGATTCCCTCAGTAACACATCTACGTTGAAAGTCATAGTCTCTTCTGACCATTTTTAATCGGCTAACGAGTTTTTTCTAGAATTAGGACCTGATGTATAATCATTACAAGGCTAAGTATATTATTCGCAATCGCTACCTCAAACATGTGGAGTTTGGCGAACATTAAAAAAGGAAAAGTTGAGAATCCGGGAAATATCACTACTGATGGATGCTACCTTTAAACGTCCTGTATTAAGTAAGTACCATATCTCGCAAATCAGTGCTTTCAGGACAATGCTTGGTTTGATTTTATACATGGGTCACACAGCATACGAATTCGACCTCTCTGACACGGATAGTGTACGGAAAGCAAGATTTTACTACATTTTCAAACCATATATACTATTAGGATAGAACTAAGAACAGGCTGTCATTGAGTTTATTTTCAATATTCCGGGATAATTCTAATAGGACATCCGGTAGAGCTTCAAGTAACATAAATTGTGTTATGTTATGGTGTATACTGCAAAAAGCCCATATCTTAGAGAGCGAATGATAAATAAATCGTGAATAAATTAATCTCAAACGTAAAACCAAGCCGGTTCTTAAATCTGACAAGACAAAAATGGATGGTAAGACACGAAAAGACTTTCTGCCATGGGATTCTGTTCAAACACTTACAGTTGTTTGATCCCCACATACAAATAATGATATGACCACCTGGTGAAATGTTCGGTTGAAGACTTACTTCTGAGGAGCACTACATCACATGATTACTATATTCATGAGCTTTGTAAACTGGCAGCCGCCATGAATGTTTGAAGACCACGTTCAATCCATCAAAATCAGTCAAGACTATAGTTTAGAACAATTAGGTAGCCGATATGTGTAGAGACAACAGTGAAAACTTCACAAAAATGTAACGACACAAGATTTCAAAACAGAGCAACTGATGATATCTCTTCACTAACAGCTCATGAAATTCAAAAATAATTTGCTAAATTACCAGAGTCAGTAAACAAGTTTCCACTGGGATGGATACGTAACAGTAAGTTGAAATAAAAATGCAAAAGTGTCACCTCGAACAACCGACTTACGAGCGTTACAAACAGAACTTTAATAATAGTGGAAAATCTTGTCTAACATGTGCACAAATAAAAACCATTGAAAAAATTATAGAATACACTTCTTATTATAGCAGAACTTCTGAAAATCTAATAACTAAATATGAAGCACTAAGTTTCAATGTACAATAAACGTTTTTTCAAAATTTGCCACCTTGTCTTCTCAAACACAGCTAACACATATTCTACATAATGTTTCATAACTTTTGATGTGATAGTTTGGTCGTGAAATCAGTCTTCTACGTATCAATTGAAAAAAGTCACGCTCTGTATCTCTACCATTTTAAAATATTCAACAGTCAGCTATTATCCAATTTTTAAGTTTTCTGCAGTGTATGAGGCAAATATGTTTGATTGACGCAAACCCAACGGCAAAAGAACGGAGAACAAACTAAAACTAATCAGTTAAAGGTGTTTTATGGAAACTATTTTAAGAGCCTCAAGACAAAGATATTACTATGTAGTCTATCACAAGTTCAACTTAAATGATAGGTAGATTTAGAGTTGCTTTTCACTTTCCTTCACTGTTGTTTTACATTTTATTTTTTTCTGTAAAAATGAGAGTGAATTTCAAATGTGATTGATTTCTTCTACCATGCTTTGTCAGAATTTTGAAAGATCTTAAAGCACTTAATGAGTATTGGCTACATTTTCTACAACACAATCTGCTTATAAAACTGCCTTACAGATTTCTTTTATGGTGGATTTACCGTAAACAAGTTAAATTTGGTGAAACCAACTTTTTATCTATCACTTACAACTGCAGAACGAAGTTTTTAACTGGTGTAAAACATATCGGTAATGCAAATTCATCATATTGACCAAATGTTTGTAGTTTTTCAAGAGGATCGTCCAGTCAATCAAATTGTCGACGACATAAAAGTCAAATTCGGATGTACGTCAAGCAATAAAATACAATTCATTGCTTCCTAATCACTATAATCAACAGGAAAACTAAGGACTCGGCCAATCACATCATATGGATTAAGTACAACAACGACATTGTCGACATAATCGGCTGCCTAAAAACTCTGTCCGAAAAATTCAAAGCAATCAGTGGTTCATCTAGTCAACGAGGAGTGGAAAAATCAGAAAAATTAGAGTTCAAGAAATGCTAAAACATTTATGTGACTTTACAATGTGTTTATTAGTGGTTGGAAACAGTTGATTTTAACTGTACATCCAGAAAATCTATCTCCCATACATCCTGCATCTTCGGTTGAACGACAAGAAAAAGAGAATTTATGGTCACCATCATCACATTGAAGTAAAATATTTTTAGTTCAGTACTAAGGTTGAACCTCGTAATTTCTAGTAAATTGGCTATTGTGCAGAAAGTTAATGATACATACATTTTTATGATATCCCAATGAGTTCAAACTATTTTTTGTGTTCTGTGACGTAAGTCGTAAAACACCAGTAATACAAATCTTAACTCATTAAGATATTATAAAAGTGTACTTATTATCTAACTGGTTAATGGGCAAATGAAGGGTAACATGGATAAAAACAACATCCTCCATGATCCGTGACACCTGTTCACAAAACTCATAGCCTTATAGTTCCATAGAATGGAAAAGTTGGCCGACTTGCTTTTGCAACATTCTTAAACTTCCTCAAAGCCTTTGGCACAGCACTTCATGCACTTCTGATAGTAAAGTCTTCAGATATGGGTTTCACTGACCTACTTTTATCCTGGCTTTAAGACTACCAAGAGGGCTGAATGTTTTGTACCAAGGTGAGTAGGAGGAATTGGAATTGGAAGGTCTCTGTGTCAAAATTTGCACAAGGAATCTTCTTGGATTCACTAATATTCTTGATCTTCATTAACGAACTCTTATATTTAATTCACTCGGTGGCACCGATCTACGCAGACGACATAAGGATTGAGAATTCCATATAAAGCAAATGGGATTCAATTAAGCTTTATAGTGACCGCATATCAATGGAGGAATAGGCATTAGATATTGAGTTGAAAACTGACCTATTGATATGTTATGTCATGGACATTCTACTTCGTTTGACATAGATCGCTTACAGCCTCCATGGGAAACTGATCACGACCGTTCCTTCACAGCGTGTAATCGGGCTTGCAAGCGTACGGAGCCTAGACAACAGTTCAAACAACATAATGGACGAAACCAAATTAAATGCAAATCACAGAGTTTTATGTAGAGAACTTAGCAGAGTCACTTTGGAGTTGTTCCTAATAATATAAAAGTACGCACATGCCCATCTAGGAGTCTACAATGTTACCGCCCCACACTCTTCATTAGGGACGTGAATTTCTTGGATCGATGGTAGTTTACGAGATAAAAGTCATATGGGGACAGACAACGATACCAAGGTTTATCCTCGTTAGGCTACAGGAGAATAAGAGGTGGGCTGATAATTGCACATATCAAGTGTGTATGGACACACCGTTCAACTCTTTTTGGAGCCTCTCTGGGGTTACTGTTGGTCCCATTCCCGGATAAAGAAGGGTAGTTGGGCATGAGGTTAGCGATCACAATCCCTAGTAAAAGTAACTCGCCATAAAAAGCTTACCAGAAAAAATTATGCAAACCATTTAAACTCTTTGCTGGGAGTCAGAATATCGTCATTTAGGATGGTTGTGACGTCTCATGATGAAAGCCGAGTTCCTTCGGAAGCCACGAGACTGTTGCACCTTCTCACAGCCACAGAAACCATTAATTTAGGTACATGGAATGTTTAGACAGTGTGGGAGACCTGGAGAGTCATCCAAATTGCCGTAGAAGTAAAATGATGCAGCTTGAGGGTGCTTTGAACCAGTGAAACATTTTGGATGCAAGTCGAATAATAAAGACTAGCTTCAGAGGAGCTATTGCTTATACTCTGACCATCATGAAGAAAACGCTCCATATACACAAGGAGTGGCACCGTGCTATCCAAACAAGCAGGAACCAAGCAGAATCCCATGTACCCAAGGTCATCATGGCCTCCTTCGAAACAAAGAAAGAGGATATTACAATGAATGTCATCCAATTCTATTCGCCTACCAATGATTACAACG